AGCCTACTGGGAGGCGATGGCAGGTGCAGCAGGGCCAGGATGAGCAGGAGCAGCAGGCGGCATCGGACTGCCAGTTTTGGCTGAATCCCTGCAGACTACACCGAGGAACCCCACAAGTGCACAAATCCGTGCACCAGGTCTCTAGTATACATATAATTCTCTTTTAAGCTCTCTGAGACAGCTGAAAATATCCTCTTAATGCAGTAATATATAGGTTTCAGTTTTTCTGAGGTTTTTTTCATCTTTTGGTTCTCACCTGGAGAGTTGCTCAGCTGTCAACTTAGCCCTTTCTTCCCATCACTCTGGAAATTCCCTTTGTCTTTGTCCTTGATGCAAGTTCTGTTTCTTGGGACCTATTTTCCTCTTTATTATTATTATTATTAATGTTGATTATTTATATTTAAAAATACGTTTTTATTCATTTTAGAGAGAAAGGGAGAGGGAGAGAGGAACTTCGATTGGCTGCCTCCTGCAAAACCCCTATTGGGGATCAAGCTCAAAACTCTGGTCATATGCTCTAACTGGGAATTGAACCCATGACCTTTCGGTGTAAGAGACAACACTCCAACCACCTGAACCACACTATCCAGGGTTAGGAGTACTTTATATATTCTGGATAGTAAACCTTGTCATATATACAATTTGCAACTATTTCCTCTCATTCTGTAGGTTGTCTTTTGGCCTTCTTGATAATATCCTTGATGCACAAAATTTTGATGAAGTTCAACTAATCTATTTTTTCTTTTGTTGCTTGTTGTTGTTTTTTGTGTCACATCAAGAATGCATTGTCAATTTCAAGCTCATAAAGACTTACCTTTGTATTTTCTTCTAAGTGTCTTACAGTTTTAGCTTTTATATTTAGGCAGCCAATCTATTTTGAGTTCATTTTGTATATGGTGTAAGGTAGGCATTGGACTTCATTTTTTTCAACTTTCATTTTTTTTTAATGTGGAGATCCAGTTGTCACAGCACCATTTCTTGAAGAAACTGTTTTTCCCCACTGAATAGATTACACTCTTATCTAAAATCAAGTAATCAATTGTCCATAGATATATAGGTTTATTTATGGACTCTCAATCCTATTCAATTGGTCTTTATGTTTGTCTATATGCCAGTATCAGACTACTTTGATTGCTTTATCCTTGTAATAAGTTTTGAAATAAGGAAGATTGAATCCTCCAACTTTGTTCTTTTTCATGGTTGTTTTGGTTTTGGGGAGTTCCAATTTGAGGATCAGCTTTTCTATTCCTGAAAAAAAAAATGCCATTGGTATTTTGATAAGGTTTGCATTGAATCTGTAGATCACTATGGGTAGTATTGACATCTTACCAATATTAAGTCTTCCTACCCATGAACATGGGTGTCTCTCCATTTAGTTAGGTCTTCTTTCATTTCTTCAACATTTTATAGGTTTCAGTATATGCCTTTCATCTCCTTGTTTAAATCTATTCCGGTGTATTTTATTTTTATAGATGCTATGATAAGTGGAATTGGTTTCTTAATTTCTTTTTTGGATCGTTTGTTGCAGGTATTTAGAAATATAAGTGATTTTTTTTGTGTTGATTTTACACCCTGCAACTGTACTTAATTTATTTACTAGTTCTAGCAGCTTTCTTTTGGATTCTTTATTTATAAAATCACATCATCTATGAATAGAGATAGTTGTTACTTCCTTTCAAATGTGGGCACCTTTTATTTATTTTTCTTATCTAATTGCTTTGGCTACAACTTCCAGTCCAATACTGAACAGCAGAGATGAAGGTGGGCTTCCTTGTCTTGCTCCTGACCTTGGGTAGAAACCTTTCAGTATTTTACCATTGAGTATAAAGTCAGCTGTGGGATTTTTGTGTTTATTGTTTTATAACCTGTTCTTAGTTTTCTGACTGTCTTTATTGTGAATTGGTGTTGATTTTGTCAAATGATTTTTCTGCATCAATTGAGATGATCATGTGTTTTTCCCCTTTCATTCTAGTAATGTGGTGCATAACGTAGATTGATTTTCTTATGTTGAACTATCCTTGTATTCCTGGGATATTCCTTTTTTTTTTTCTTACCCTCTCATTTTGATGGAGCACATCTTCCAATGGCTTCCTGAGGAAAGGTGCAGAAGAGGTAAAAGTTTGTAACCTGGCTATATACAGGGTGTCCCAAAAAGTGTACACACACTTGAACAGCTGATAGCTCAATTCTGAAAATGAAATGTATTTCAATGAACACTGTCTTTATAATTATTCAAAGTGTGCGTATACATTGTGTGTGTGTGGGGAAACCCTATATTCTGGGCAATATTCTCAACTTTATCTTTCATCACATTTTAAATATCCCAAAGTCCTTTCTTGTCTCTTAATGTTTCTTTTTCTTTTATAGCAGCCTTGGCTGGTTGAGAATATATAAATATATATTAATTGACTTCAGAGAGGAAAGGAGAGGGAGAGAAAGAAACATTAATGATGAGAGGTAACCATGGAACGGTTGCCTCCTGCACACCCTCCACTAGGGATGGAGCCCACAACCTGGCTGGGATTGAACTCGTGACCCCTTGGTTCATAGGTCGACGTTCAACCACTGAACTATGCTGGCTATGTGCAGATTTAGTTCTTGACAAGTGGAAAAATAAACTCTTCTGTGATAGTTAAGAAAGGAAGAATGGGTGTAGATGGAAGGAAGGTGAGGTATTCCTTCTGATGACTTCTATTTTCTCTGTGACACAGATGGGGAAGACAGCTCTTGAGATAATAGTGTAGGTAATGGGGTAGGGGGTAAAAGAGAAGTCAAAGCTAACTACCTCAGAAACCCAGCTGCTTCCTGAGCAGCCCTGAGGGTCCACACCAGAGCCAGAGACTATCAGTCAAGCATAGCAACCAATCTGTTCAATCAGAAAAGTTCCTGGTCAAGGTGTGGAGAAGACAGGCTCTTGGCCAGCTCCGTGGTTGATATTCTTCTAGCCAAGAGGTCCAAAAGAGCACAAGGTCAAAGGAATTAAGGATATTGACAAGGGGTTGATGTGATTGAGTGTGGCATTTCTGCTACGTTCTTATCTGCTCACACAGTCTCTGGGAACCTTAACAAATCCTAACTGTTCAGCTTGACATTTTTCCACCTGAAAGTTTCCTGTTGTTGTGTTGTTGTTGTTTTTTTAAACTGAAGCCTTTATTGAATTTTCTACCCTTACCATTCACAAGCTGTCAAGGATCAGGCCTTTTTACATTGTTCTCCAAGGGTCCCCTTGTGTATATTTCTCTATGTAGACAGTATAACCCATTTATCTTTATTCTTTGTTTCTTATCTTTAAAAGGGAATAAAAACCAGATTAGTTAGGACCCCTACCAGCAGAGAGAACGCTTTATTCTCTGCAGTAATGACAAGGTGTTATTGATATTCCCTTTCTGATTTCTGGATATTTCACCATGAAAACAGAACACATTCTGAGTGCATATCATTCAGTGGTTCAAGTTTATTTGTTTCAGTAGATGGATGAAGCACACCACATTTCGTTTGTAACTTTTTCTCCCTCAAGAGTCACTTTATCTTAAGACAAAAGATTCTCTTAAAGAACACACACACGTGTGTGCACACATGTACACCAACTCAGGCACGCTCGCATACACACACACACACACACACACACACACACACACACACGCACACACAGCAAATACAAAAACCTAACCCCACCAAAGTGCATGTGAATGAAGTGCAAACAAGTTTCATTTTCAAACTCTGGGAGCATTCTTTCTGTTTCAGAAGCCAAACAGAAAGGTCTGCCCTGGCCTAGGCCAGAGCTGGGCGAGGCTGCCGGGCCAAAGTGTAAGTGGCACCTCTGCTGGAGAGCCGGGCAGAGGTCACATGGCACTGGGCACCGGCGCCAACGCCCTCCCCTCACTGCCCTCCCAGGTCAAGGTGCGATGATCTCATTTGGGGACAGGATGGGGGTGAAAGGGAGGTAGCAGGGTGGACAGGAGGCAGGTTTCTTTCTCCTTTTTTATGATTTGGTTTCTTGGCAAAGAGTTTGACATTGGTGCACAAGGCGCTGAGGCCTCCAAGTCCGGAGGCCTGGGGCCCTTTTCCTCGAGGCCCTTGGTCCCTCCTGCCTTCCTGGTGGGCAGGCGTTCAGAGTGTGGTTAGTAAATGTACATGGCAAAGCCATGCCAGCCCCACTCGACTGTGTGGACTGGCTGCCTTCTCCTCACACCGCAAAGCCAGCGGGCATCTCTGCCAAAGAACTGGGGAGTTTGGCCACCACTGAAGCAACCAAGATAGACTCTTGGCCCATGAGGACACCATTGCAACCAACCTCTCAGGCTGTCCAACCCTCAGGCCTGGCCGCCCGCTTTCCTCTCTGGGAGGTCATGCTCAGAGCTGCCTCTTGGGGCTGAGAAAAGGGGCGTGTAAGTCCCGAGGGAGCTCAGCTGGGGCGCTGAATGGCTGCCGAGCAAAGCGTCTGGTCCCTTGTGAGAGAGGGTCCCCTGCTGGGCAGGGACAGGAAAGCAACTGAACTTTGGGGTTCTCTCTTCTATGGGAGCCATAAAGCTTCATATTCTAACAGGAATAGCCCTTGACATTTCCCCAACACTGAGCCTCACATCTCCCCATCAAACACTTCTGAGTGCACTACACACACACACACACACACACGCACACATACATACGCACACAGGCACGCACACGCACACCTCCCATGGCTCCCAGAGCAGAATGGGGAAGGCCCAGCTCAGCCCCTGCTCCCGCCTCCATGTGGGGCCTGTTCCCAGGCTTCCGGTTTGGCAGTGGCTTAGTGGGGCTAGGCCCCCCACTTGTACAGAAAGAGCGAAGACCCAGAGTCCAGCAGGCACCCCCACCACCACCACCATCACCACCACCACTGCAACACGGATGGAGAGGGGAAGAAAGGCTACATGGACTCAGAGAGCTCCAAGACAGAATTCACTTTTCCAACTCCCAACGTCAAGTCCTTTGTAAAACTCAAGAGCAGGGCATGTGAGGGACAGGTTGAGGTGATGTTACAGGGTGTGTGTGTGTGTGTGTGTACTAGACAGAGTGCTACCTGCCCATGCCAGGAGGCCTGGCACGCATGCTCCCCTGACTCCTTCCATGGGCAACACCTTGGCTGAGACCCACGGCTGCCAGCTTTGGGAGCCACTATGCCTGGTGGAGCTGCCCCTCTGACCGAGACTGTCTGACACACTGTTGGGCTGGCCATGGCTACCTAAGCATTCAGGCTGCCTCCTCCCATACCTGACACACTGAGAGTGCACCTTAACCCCTGCTGCAGAGGCAGATGCTCTGCCCACCCGCTCTGCTGGAAACAGGACTGGGCGTGGGACACTCACAATGCCAAGTGGTCCGGAGCTGGACACATTTGAGAAGGCATCTGGGCTCAGAACCCCTCGCTTCTGGGTAAAATGGAGAAAGGCAGCCCGGACTCCCATTGGGTCCTATGAGAACATGTGTCTGAGGCTCACCCACTCTAAGGGAGGAGCCAATGGGGTCTGGCTGTGCCAGGGTGGGGGCACTGACCAGCAAGCCGGGCAGCAGATTGGGGGCGGCAAAGACAGAGGGGGAGGTGCCTTCTGAGTGAATGTGTTTGTGGCAGGGTCGCTTGGGAGGAGGAAAGGAGACCAGGAAAGAAAAGCACAGAGCGGCCGAGAAGGGCCTCTGGCTCCCCCGGACTGATCTTGCTTGCAAACAAAAAGCAGCTTTGGTGATCAAACAAGTTGGCTGGAGATGTGGCTGCAATGGGCAGGGCACCCCCGACCCGCTCCGTCGGTAACGCCCCCCAGCAGCCTCACCCCCTCGCTGCTGTGCCTGGTGGCAGGTGAGTTCCAGGACTCGGGGCTAAGACTCCATCCCGCCCGGGGCTCCTCTGCTCCCATGCCCCTTGAGGGAAGCAGCCCCGGAGAGAAGAGCAACCAGCCCTGGTCAGACACGGAGCGCGGTGGGGGCACAGGTGGGGAAGAAGGAGCTCAGGTTAGGAAGGAAGCATCGGTGCCCAGGGAGGCCCAGCCGGGGCTGGAGGAGGGCCCAGCCCCGGGCCAGTCACTTTAAGGAGTCATCGGCGTTTTTGAACATGAGAATGGCGTTATAGATCTTCAAGGCTGGACCCAGCTTGACGCTCATGATCTTCACAATGTCCGCCTGTGTCAGGAGAAGGAAGGCCTCGCCATCAATCATCTGAGGGTTGGGGAGGGAAGTGGACATTGGAGAAGGCGGAGAGGGTCGTGGGGAAGGAGTGAAGGAAGGTGGGCGTGTGCATGGCGAGGGAAGGGGAGAAGGAAAATTGGAGTAAAGGATATATGGGGGGAAGGGAAGGAGGAGGGAGAGGGAGAGAAGAAGGAAAAGGAGAGAGGACAAGGGAGGGAGAGAGGAAAAAAGGAAGACAGCAATGGGGACAAAGAAGGAAAGAAAGATATCCACTGGTGTTCCCATGTTCACACACACACACACACACACACACACACACACACTCTTTCTGCTGGACTTCAGTGTGTATTTGCATAATGTTTTCTGAGTCTTCACTGCCAGTGGCTTCAAAAAACTGCTATTGCTGCCCTAGTCAGTTTGGTTCAGTGGTTAAAGCACAGGTCTGCAGACCAAAGGGTCCTGGGTTCGATTCCAGTCAAGTGCATGGGCCTCGGTTGCAGGCTCCTCCCCAGCCCGGGCCCTGGTCGGGGCTTATGCAGGAGGCAACCAATCGATGTGTTTCTATCACATCAGTAGTTCTGTCTTTCCTTCTCTCTTCCATTCTCTCTAAAAATCAATGGGAAACTATCCTCAGGTAGAGATTAAAACAACAACAACAAAAACCTGCTGTTGCTGTCCCCACCTGAGCCCACTGGTCAGTCTCAGAGCTGCTATTAGACATGGGGCATTCCGATGAATGCATTACAGTATTACCTATGAGCTCTGAGAGAAAGAGAGAGCTTGGGATTTCATCTAAATCTCACCAAACCTTTGTTTCTAACTTCCAGTTTATAGGAAATACACGGGATGGTGCAACAAGTTGAATGACACTGTAAGGAAGCAATGAGACAAACCCAGGGCACCGTCTGCCAGACTCTCTCCCTGGGTTCCTGTGCCTCCCTTGGAGACTTCTCACTACTGTGATTGCTGAGGTTCACTCTAGGTACTTCAAAGCAAAGACTGGAGCTTGGTGACCAGTAGTTTGGGACTATGCCAGGGGACACTGGGATGACTCAAGAACATACAAGATGTTGTATGTGTGCTGATGTATACGGAGAGTTTTCAGCCATAATCTCGGAAATGGCCATATTTGACCTTGAAGGTAGAGGAATTCAACAGGAAAATGAATAAAATGAGCCAAATGCAATGATTCACCCTAAGCAATAGCCCCGGAGCGTGGCTAGCTAGGACCAGGGAATTTCCCCAGGTGGGGGTAACCTGGAAAGATCCTTAGAGAGCCACACGTGGGATGTTCAACAGAGGCCAAGCTAAAGTCCAATCAGCTGATGAGAGACTTCTATGCTGTCACCACAGAGGCATGGCCCCCAGGAGCCCAAGAAAGAGGGGCGCTCGGGGAGCAGCAAGCTGCCCGTTTATCCAGCTGCACAGTCAGCAGAGGCTGTTGATACCTCTCTGCCCTGCCCCCTCCTCTGAGCACCCATTACACCTGGCACACACCTCCCCCGGAGTCCTAACCACAGGCTACCAGAAGCAGCCATTTACCATTCATCTGGACCAGTGTCCCTGCGTGTCCCGGCTGCGTCCATTCGGCCAGAGAGAACCCACTCCCTGGGGAGATGAATGCCGCGGACCAGACCTTGGAGAAGGCGGTCCTCAGCCCCCACAATGCTCTGCACTGAGACAGTACTGGGTACTCGGTCCACCAGCACACCTCCCTGCTCTGGCCATTGCAGCAGATGTTCCTGGACAGATAAGCCTTCTCTCAACAAGGGAACGATGCGGAGCCCAGCATGAGCCAGAGGATAACTTTCCCAGGTGGCTCAGCTGGCTGAACAGCTGTACTCAGAGAGCGTTCGTTTATGATCGGCTGTCACCTAATGGGAGCGCTCTAATGGACGCCACGTGGTTCTGCTCTGCTTTATCAGCATGTGTGGTGAAGACTTGCCTTAATGAACACAGAAAGCTTAGTTATCAAATGTACAAGTTGTAGCCCAGCTGGGGTGACTCAGTGATTGAGCGTCAACCCATGCACCAGGCGGTTTCCGGTTCAACTCACAGTCAGGGGCGTACAGGAGGCAGCCCATTGATGTTGATGTTTCTCTCTCATTGGTGTTTCTATCTTGCTCCCTCTCCTTCTCTCTCTCCAAAATCAATAAACGTATATTTAAAAAATGTGCAAGTTGTATGAGGCTGGGAAGGCTTATTAATATCAGAGATGATAGAGTTAAGATTTAAAACAGTGAGATCATGAAACCAACATGATAACATTTAATCGGGAGAAATGCAAAGTCTTTCATTAGATTAATTTTAAAAAGCCAGTGGTACAAGTAACCCACTGGAAACTTTGGTTTGATTAAAATGGATAATTGATTTAAAAGCAGTTGGGGACTTTCATGAACTAAAATCTGGTGTGATGTGTCTATACTAAAGCGAGTGCAATCTTAAAGTTTTACTCACAAAAACATAGGGCTCAAATCAAGGGGGAGAGAAAATGTCCGTTAACGGTGGGATATTCATAAAATGGAGCACTGCGTGGCAATAAAAATGAACAAACTAAGGGTCTACACAAGGACACGAATGAGCCTCAAAAGCATCACTCTGAGCGAAAAGAGACAGACAAAAAAAGAGTACGCTGTAGGATTCCATTTACATGGCGTTCAGGGGCAGGCAGAGCTAGTCTGTGGTGCTGGGTGTGAACAGCAGTTGCTGTGAGGCTGAAGCTGAAGAAAGGGGCCGAGAGAGAACTCTCTGGTGAGACGGGAATGCTCCATGTCTTGACTGAAGGGTGGGGGTCAGAGTGCACACATTTCACAAGGCTGTGGGTGAGCACTTTCGCGGTGGGTGCCTTTCTCTCCGTGTACATCTGATCTCCATGCACACACATCTAGTGTCAGTTCATCTACTGTAACAAATGCCCCGCTCTGCTTAGCTATGCCAATGAAGCGGGAGGCTGTGCACGTGGGTGGGGGGCATGTGGGTAATCTCTGTAATGTTTTCTCAATTTTGTTGTGAACCTGAAACTGCTCTAAAGTAAGAAAGTCTTTTTAAAAACAGAAACCAGAGCCATCTGGAGGAGCAGCCCAGGTGTTGTGCTGTTCAGAAAGCGTCTGAAACCCAGGTGTCGTCCTGGTCACGCCCGATTACGGTAAGAAGGTCACAACCCAGAAGGGAAGGACCCAGAATGGGGAGGAGGAGGGAGCTCACTAAGCTAGGTTCAGAGGAAGAGCCCGGCTGGAGGGCTGGAGAGAGATTCTCCGGGAAGGGGGCAGACTCCTCTCCCCTGGGCTCGCCTGAGGAGGCACTGGGGGAGCAGAGACACTTCCTGGGGGCAGGGGACGTGTGCATTCTTTGGGAGGAAGACCTAAACAAACTCAAAGGCCCCTTCCGGCTTCAAACTCTACAGCCTGAAGAGACATGATAAAGTTCTCATTTAAGGATGACTGCACTTTCAAACTCAGCACCACCACTGCCTGAAGCCCCACTGTGTCAGTTATTCTTGTAGAGTGATATGATTTACATATTACTCTATAATATTATGTATAATATTAATATATATGACCCTTACAATAATATAATAGCATATATTCTAGGGTATAACTATACTAGACATTCTGATACAGCGATCCGCTAGTCATTTCCAATGCTCACAGTGGCTTTTTTATATCTATTTTATCTCAGTTTTACACAGAAGAAGATGCAGGCTCAGGGACAGTGAAAAGCTCAAATCGGCAGGACTGGGATTCAAACCCAACTGTCAGCAAAGCTAGTACTCTTTTATCTACAGCTCACTGCTTCTCGCCTCTGGGGAGCTTTGGGGTCTTGGTTTTAAGTATATGTTAGGATCCCTGCAGTAAATGGCCATACCTGTGCCATCAGGTATTGAAATGCACTTGAATTAACCGGCTGATGATGCGTTTGGAGAACAAAAAATGGGGCAGAGGGCAGAGGGGTGGATGGGGCCTGGTCTCCAGGATGCTCCTTCCCTCCTGGGACGGTCTGCAGACAGAGGGTTCCCCCCTGGGCCAGGTCCGCACCAGATTGTGCCCAGAGGGGTGGCTGTGACTGCTCTCCCGCAGGGGTGACCAGAGGACCCTCCCTAACCGGGGGCAGCTCTGGTGGGGACACCACTTCCTGCCTCTCGGCGGGCGCCTTTCTCTGTCCCCACGCTGCACCTGCACCTTCCTTACCTCATCCTTGAAGACTTGTGCTTGGTCCTCACAGCCTGTCAGGGTCTGAACGAAGCCGAAGACCTTGGAAATCAAAGGAGACATGTTGCCTGTTGCCAAGGAGACAGGGGCTTGGGAGACAGCGGGGAGGTGGCTTATATGGCCTTGGCCCCTTCTGGCCTGTGCCTGTGCTGCTTTTTCTTATCCACCTAAGAGGGTCCTTGCATCTCCGTGCTACTGAGCATGTGAGGCTCAGCCTGCCTCTCCCACTACATTTCCCGGTGGGCTAGTCACCGGCCCCTCTCCCCAGCCACCAGGATGGGCCATGCAACAGTCTCTGTCAGTGCCTGCTGGGCAGCTAGGCCGGCCTGTGGATTGAGGGATGAGCAGGAGGTGGTGCCAGGGGCAGCTCCAGCTCTGCCCGGGAAGGCCTCCTGGAGGAGGGTGTCCGGGTGAGAGGGCAGAGGAGGGGCGGGGAAGGAGGGGCGGAGCTCCTCACCTCGTCGATGGTCCACTTGGCCACTGTGGAGGCCGAGATGCCCGCCACTCCCGGCAGGAGCTTGCAGTGCTGCTCCCAGCACACGGAGAGGTACCGGTCAGGGTGGGCCGACAGGGACGACATGAAGAAGGACTGGTGGATGACATCGGGCGTTAGTGCTGGAAAGCAGAGGCAGAGACTGGCAGGCCGGCGCTGAGGACTAACCTGGCCCCGGGAGCCGGCCTGTGCCCACGCCATGCAAGAGGACCGTGGCCTTTTCTGACGGCCTTGCAGAGCCAAGAGGGGGCTCCAGATCTGACTCCTGTGGGCTCGCTCCTCCCGGGAAAGTGGGTTCCTTGCTTTACAGACTCCCAGGGCAGCTGCCTGGAATGACCTCCTCCCTAACCCCCACCCCTCTGGGGCTGCGCCCTGGGGCCCTGCAGCATCCTGGCCCATTTCTTCAGATGCCCTGCATCCAAGGGGTGGAGGTCCCAGCAAGAAGAAGCCCGTCTGCCTGTCCTCCTTCCCTAAGTCCCTTCGGGCCCTCACTAAGTTGCTGTTGAATCCTGGGCAAGTCACATAACGTGGGCCTCAGTTTCCCAGCCTGCCAGTGAGCAGGCTGGGCCAGGAAATCTCGGTGGTCTCCTCTCATTCTCTCAAACACTGACACTCACGGGGCTGGGAGGGCCCTACCAGCAGGGAGAGCACAGCCGAGTCCCGTCCGTGGCAGGCAGCCTGCACCTCGGAGCTGTTTGCCAGCGAACCCTGGAGCCCACCCTGCAGAGGCTCACACCCGTGGATGTGTGAGAAGTCTCCGGAACGAGATCCAGAGTGACCCGTGTCCTGTCTGAGAGACGGCCAGCTGGCAGGACAAGGGAGTCCTGCACAGAGGGCCTGCGCCCCCCCCCCCCCCCCCCCCGTTCTGTCCCTGAGGGCTAAAGCCTCAGGCCCTGGGAAGACTGAGCTTCCCCAGTCCTCAGGACTCCTCTGGAATGCACACAGGCACCTGCCCCCTGGTGGTCAGAACGTGGCCCTGCAATGCAAGCTGACCGGGCTTACCACTGAAGGTGGCAGAGGCACCTCTGCAGTCCCACCGGCAAAAGTCCCCCCTCTGAGACCCCCTCCCTCAGGCCTTCTGTCTTCACCCAGAGCAAACAGCGGGGAACAACACCGCGAGGGAGTCAGGCCAGTGATCAGGACACACAAGAATCCATCCCAGCAGGGTATGCGACCATCTCGTTCAAGTCTCCCCCCGCCTTTTGAGATGGGCACTGTGATCATCAGCATTTCACAGGTGAGGCAACTGAGGCTCAGAGAGGTGGCTTCACCTGCTCAAGGCTGCGCAACAGATCAGAGACTGTCCCTGAAGTGCTCGAAAAGGCTGGGTCCTGCCCAGACATTGTGTGATGAACCGGCTTCACGGTCTCCTCTGGACTTAAAACCACGTGCAACTCAGCTGAGGCCAGATCCCAGTGCCCCTGGTGTGTACCAGCCCTTGCTACTGGCCAAAGCTGTGACACGAATTCATCACACAACGGAGGGTGCGGTCCCTTTGTGCCTCCCCTTGGAGCATGCCATGGGCTGAACTGTGTCTCCCCAAATTCATGTTAACACTCTGGCCACCAGCATGTGGCTGTATTTGTGGCTGTATTTAGAGAGGGGATTAGGTAGGCTGGACACTAATCCAATCTGAGTAGGGCTCTTATAAGAATTTTGGACACACAGAGAGATGGCGGGGGGTGGGGGGAGAGGATACAGGCACAGAGGAAAGACCATGAGAGGACACAGAGAAGGCAGACATCTTCAAGGCAAGGCGAGGCCTCCGAAGAAACCAGATCCTCCACTCTCTGACTTTTAGCGCCCAGAAGTGTGAGAAAATACATCTCCGTTGTTTAAGCCACCCCCTCTGTGGTGCTAAAGCAAAGGGGGTTAGGAAGGGGACTGGCGTTTAGGTTAGGTGCTTTGTGTCTAGCACATCAGCAGCACACAGCAGATCTCAGACCCGAGTTCGAATCCCAACTCTGCTCCGGACAAGGCAGTGACCTCAGGCAAACGACTAGTCTCTCTGAGCCTCTCATCTCTCCTTTCTCAGGAGAGAATCCTGTCCACAGCACAGGGCGCTGTGAGAGTCAGCGGCCACAGTGAAAGGAAGCGCCTGAAACAGCACTTGGCTGGAGTGCTCAGCGAACCCTGGCAGGAACCACTGTTATTGCAGGCAGCTGGCATGGGAGAAGCACTTTTTTGTGTTTTTTTGTTGTTGTTGTTTTTTTTTTCTTTTAAACACGTATTTATTTTGAAAGAGGAGAGAGAGAGAGAGATGGATTTATTGTTCCAACCATGCATTCATTGATTGCTTCTTGTATGTGCCCTGACTGAGGATCGAACCCCAAACCGTGGTGTATCGGGACGATACCCTGCCAGGCAGTTATATTCATGTTTCCAAATGAGGACACTGAGGCTCAGAGACGTTCAGTGACTTGCTCAAGGTCACACAGCTAGACAGTGACAGCCAGGGCCTCCCTCCCAGGGAGCCCAGAATGGCGAACAGCGCTGGGGCATCACCTGACCTCCCGGTGGAGAACCAGCGGCCCAGAGGGCTCCGTGCCTTTCCCACAGATTCCCACAAGGCCGTGGGTGAGATGGCCTGGAACCGCTGATCATTCAAGGCGCCGTCCTGTACTCCTGCCACTGCTCTGTGCTCCCCGAGCATCTCCAACCAAGAGCTACAACCGCCTTTCCAGCTCCTCCCTTCTCTCTCTCTCTCTCTCTCTCTCTCTCTCTCTCTCTCTCTCTCTCTCTCTCTCAGGACTATTATTTTTTTTTAAATATTTTTTTATTGATTTCAGAGAGGGAGAGGGAGAGAGATAGAGACATCAATGATGAGAGGGAATCATTGATTTGCTGCCTCCTACACGCCCCCTAATGGGGATCAAGCCCGCAACCCAGGCATGTGCCTTGAGAATCGAACCATGACCTCCTGGTTCATGGGCCGATGCTCAACCACTGAGCCACACCGGCCAGACCAGCTTCTCCTTCTCTGTAAGCACCCCACCCTTTGTAAACCCTCCGTGGAGGACGTGGGGGTAAATGACCCTGGACTCACTCGCAAGATCTCCTGGTGTGATCTGATACTTGGGAGGGCGCCCAGGTCCGGGGAGAGAGGGACCAGGTCCGTGGCAGGGAACCGGCGCCCGGCCTTGCCCGAGAGGACAAGAGGCCCTGCACCCTCGCCCTCTGCACCGGCCATGGTGGCGAGGCTTCCTCCTTAGGGAGAAGCCCAGAGGTTCCTCTTATGGGCCGAGGCCTCTGAGTGGGACAGCTCTGCTCTCAGCCAGGGGCACCCCGAGAGGCAGTGGTGAGCCGTGAACTTGCCTGTGATGTGGCCGGAGCCGTCACAGCCAGGCGTGGGGCACTTCCTGGGGAGAAGGAGGCGTAAGTTGGGCTGAAGCTGCTTGTTCCCCAGCCCAGCCCCATCCAGAGGGTCTCAGTGAGCTCTGAGTGGCCGCCAGACCCTCGCGGAGCCGTGTCCGAGGTCTCACCGGTGGTGGAAGCTGTACTTGGAAGTCCGCGTGTGCGGCAGGCCCCAGTAGCTGAGAGGGAGACAGCTCTCAGGGGAGGCAGAGCCGAGCTCTCTGGGATCTGGAGAGGCAGGAGGAAGAGTCAGCATAAGGTCCTGGGGTGGGGGGAAAGGTGCGGGTGGGATGAACGGAGAGCAGGGAAGTCAGCCCTGGGCGCTAGTTCCCCAGGTAGAAGGGCCCCGAGCTAGTCTGTGCCACCACTTGCTGCTGCTGGCTATCTACCTCTGCAGGAAACGAGGGTTTGGCTCTCACACACTTTGGTGAAACCTGCAGGCCGTGCCCTCTGTTTCCTGGGGGGAGTATCCAACGCAGAGCTGGCTTGGCACAGCTGCACCATCAGAGCCATGTCAGGCAGACTGACAGCCTTCCGTTTCCCTGTTTCATCCCCTAGACTTTGGTGACTTTTTAAAGGCTCCGCCCGTGCTTGGAGCGCAATCGAGAAGGATGAGCACCCCATGTGAGACAGACGTGGCAGCAGCAGGGAACTAGGGCGGGGGTGGGGGGGTGGAGGTGGGGGGGTGGATCCTGAGGGGGGAGAACTGAGCAGTCCAATGGTCTGACACTAACTCCTGCCTGGAAGGGCCCACATTTTGTTGAACAGGGCCAGCGTTTCCTCAGCAAACACCATGCATGCTCTGCGTGGCTCCTAAGCACACCTCCCCGTGAGTTTCCCTTCACACCTCAATACCCCAAACCCAACAACTGGGGAGGCCAGAGGACTGCTGGGTATAGCAGCAAGCCCTGGGGCAGGGAGGGTGCGAGGCCTCCAGAGTCCTGGGTGTCAGACCCGGGCGTGCTACCGAAGCGGGGGGTGTAGGAGCTCGGGGGGTGGGGGGGAATGGACATCAGCAGGAAAGGGTCAGCGTGTCCTGGGGGTACACACGGAGAGGAGGCTGCAGGGGGTGCCCTGTCTTGGAGCACCAGCCGGCGGGGTGGATGTCCGGGTGGTCGGCATCAATCCAGAAGTCAAAGGCATGACTCCAGCCGTCAAAGTGGAGCTGGGGAGGAAAGGCCCTTGGAAGTCAGGCATGCCTCTCGGAGCCCGGCTCAGCCGGGGCGTCCTGCAGGCTCCAGGAGGCTCTCCCCATCCCGGAGCCTGTCAGAAGCAAGATCCTGGACTAGAAGAACCAAGGGGCCAACCCACAATAATTCATCTAGGCCGAAACCGCTGTGGCTCAGTAGATAGAGCATCGGCCTGCGGACTGAAAGGTCCTGGGTTTGATTCCGGTCAAGGGCATGTACCTTGGTTGCGGGCACATCCCCAGTGGGGGATGTGCAAGAGGCAGCTGATCAATGTCCCTTTCTCATTGATGTTTCTAACTCTCTCTCTCTCTCTTCCTCTCTGTAAAAAAAAATCAATAAAATATATTTAAAAAAAATAATAATCCGTCTTGGCCGTCATGTGTCCCAAGGGCTTCGTCATTAAGTTATGGGACTCTCCCATCCATCCTTCCATAGATCTAGGATTATTAGGCCCATTTTATAGATGAGAGAGCCGAGGCTCAGAGAGGGGACATGACTTGCTCAAGTACCCAAAATGAGACCCAAAACCTTCAGCCTCAAATCTAGAGCTCTCTTCTCCACAACGTGCAGCCGCCCCTCTGTCTCGCTCATGCCATGCCCTCGACCTTGAATGAATCTACAGAATTCCTGCCCGATCGGTCTGCCCCCTCCCCCAGCCCACGGGCCCCAGAGCCACCTTTATCCGATGGTCCTCCACGTCCTCCACGCTGGCCACGCGGATCAGGGATGGGTTCCTGCGGTCCACGGCCTCCAGCTTCATGTTAACAAGGAAGCCGTGCGGGGGTCGCTGCAAGGGGACAGCAGCCTTCAGGCCGAGGCCCAGCACAGCTGTGCTGAGACCCCCCCAGAAGCGAGCCCAAGTGCCGAGCCTGGAAAATGGCGGGGGGCAGGGCGGGAGGGGTGCAGAGGCCCATCCTAGCTGCCCAAGGGCCCCAGGACTTCCTGAGCTCAGTGCTGGGGGAGGAGAGCCAACTCACCACCTTGAAGGCCCAGGAGGGCACAGCAGTAGTTCTCGTTTCCTCCAGATATTTCTCCCAACAGAAGCTATCAGGGTCTGGGTAGTCTGGAGAGAGGAAGACAGCAACGTCTAGGCACCCAGGCGTGCTGGGAGAGCTCTCTGCCCCCAAGGAGAACCAGGGGCAGAGGCCTATGGAGGACAATCTACCCCGCATCCCCACGGCCGGCTCTTTGCGGGAGCTCCGGAGGCAGAGGGATGCTCGCAAGCACCTCCCCACCTCCCCGTTCGCAGGGCTGTCTGGGAACCTGGCTCCGTTCCTCTCCACGGCCCTGTGACGCCGGCCCCAGCCCAGCCCCCTCGGAGCCTGGTGTATGTGGGCCCAGGCGGTTCTCCGAAGGGGAAGGGAACACCTTCTTCCGTCTGGAATCCTGCCCCCTTGTTGTTGGGGAGGGGGTGTCACTTCACCCAGTCGGGGTTTGACAGGACTCTCCTAAAATCAACGGGTTCTCTGCTTCCAGGCAGACAAGCGGAGGCTCTGGGGGAACTGGTACAGGACCTGGGAGAGGGGGTGTGCCCACGCTGCACGGTCACCTTGTGGAGGCGTGAGGGGCTTTCCGTGCTTCTGGCACCAGCCGACCGGGTGGATGTAGGGGCTGCTGGCATCACACCTGAAACCCAAGCATATACTTCGCTGTCCCAAGTGGAACTGGAGGCCCGAGCCTGCGGCCTCCAACAGCATGGTGCCAGGATGCACCCTAATTGTGCTTCTTAGTGAGAGTTAGACAGATGGCTGGTGAGCAAGCCAGGCAACTGCAGCATTCACTGAAGGCTCTAACACTACCATCTTATCCAAGAGCAAATCATGAACCACGGGGCCTGCTCATCCTGACCTTGGTATGTCTAGATGATGCATCTCATATTGCATTGTGGCTATGGCCAGTGTGGCTCAGTGATTATAGCATCATCCCATGCACCGAAGGGTCATGGGTTCAGTTCCCAGTCAGGGCACATACAGGAGGCAACCGACCAATGTTTCCCCCTCTCTCCCTCTCCCTTGCTCTCTCTCTAAAAAGTTAATAAAAAACATATCTAAGAGGCATTCTAGCACTCTTAGAAGAGAGAAACTTTGCTGAAACCGGTTTGGCTCAGTGGATAGAGCGTCAGCTTGGGGACTGAAAGGTCCCGGGTTCGATTCCAGTCAAAGGCATGTACCTTGGTTGCGGGCATATCCCCAGTAGGGGGTGTGCAGGAGGCAGCTGATCGATGACTCTCTCTCATCGATGTTTCTCTCTATCTCTCTCCCTTCCTCTCTGTACAAAATCAATAAAATATATATTTTTTTTAAAAAAAGAAAAAAAAATAAGAAGAGAGCAACTTTATGAAACATGCACTTACTATTTTCTAAAGTATTCACAACAAAAGACGATATCTTCGAATGAGGATTAAAAATAGATATATTGCACGTGTTTCTTATGATGTACATAAGTCAAATCCACAGGTCAACCAATTAGTAGCTCCCTAAACCAGTGGTCGGCAAACCCATTAGTCCACAGAGCCAAACGTCAACAGCACAAGGATTGACATTTCTTCGGAGAGCCACATTTTTAAAACTCAAACGTCTTCTAACGCCACTTCTTCAACACAGACTCGCCCAGGCCGTGGTGTTTTGTGGAAGAGCCACCCTCAAGGGGCCAAAGAGCCGCGGTTTGCCGACCACAGCCCTAAATTAATATGAATGCTAGGGCTGAGCAGGGCCTGCACGGTGTCTAAGTTTTCCCAGTCTTGCCTCCCACCCCTGCCATCCCCTCCCCACCCCGGCCACGCCCGGCCCTCCCGCTACCAGTAGTCGTAAGTGTCGTCCCAGTTGTCGAAGTGCACCAGGAAGCGGCTGCCCACCACGTCGCTCACGCTGGCCACGCAGACAAGGGATGGGTTCATGCGGTCCACAGCCTCCAGCTTCCTGCCCACCTGGAAGCCCAGGGGTAGGGAACTCTGGGGGCAAGAAGAGGGGCTGCCACGGCCAGGCCAGGCAGGCCAGTGCCAGCCTGGAGGCCTCTGGCAAGGCAGGGAGTGGGTTCCCTCAGAGCCATGCTGGAGTGAGGGGGTGGGATAAACGGGCAGAATCGGAGTCCCCAGCCTAGAGCCGCTCAGGAACTCCTGGCCCCCGAGGTGCCTTCAGAGGAAGCCTCAGAACGGCAGAAGGGGCTGACTGGCAGGAAGGTACCAGGTGGCGAGGCAGCAGTCATCACCCCTTTGATAAGTCAGATAGCCTGCCTGGGACCACAATGCCAATCAACGGCGGGGCCAGGACGGAAAAGGTCTGACTGACAAGTCCGTATCCCCTCTCACAAGAGCGGATAGATCGCCACCAGGCCCGTGGGCATCTGCAGGTGTGGTCTCCGGGCTGGCCTGGCGGTGCAGGTGACTGCCCGAATGGCATGGCAGGGTCCCAGGCCTTTTGATAGGGTGGTATTTTTAACGGGGTCCCTGTGTCTCTCAGACCATTTGCTTGGGATGAGGAGGTACATGACCTGCTGGGAAAAGCTACCAGCTGCCCTGGACAGAGAAAAAGACAGGGTCGAGCTACTGAGACTACATGGGAGGGCCTGGACGTGGGGCAAAGGGCTGGGAGGGCAGCTCCCAGCACGGAGGCTCGGACTGCACACCGAAAACTACAGAGCGAACCAGGAGGTCAGGGTTCGATTCCCTGTCAGGGCACATGCCTGGGCGGTGGGCTCGATCCTCAGTGGGGGAATGTGTAGGAGGCAGCTGATCAATGATTCTCTCTCATCCTGGATGTTTCTATCTTTCTCTCCCTTTCCCTTCCCCTCTGAAATCAACAGAAATATTTTTTAAGAAGCGAGAGATAGATAAAAATAAATAAAGAAGAGACGTGCACAGTGGCACCTCAGAGCCCAGGCAGAGGCAGTGCAGGCCTCCGGGGGGACGTAGGGAGAAGGGCTTTGTGCAGAGGAAACGGGGGAGAACCTGTGCCAGCTCCTCCCTCCGGCCTCGGTCTGCCCGTGCCCCTCCCGTGCGGTAGGAGAGACCAGGGGAGCTGAGAGCGCGGGGAGGAGAGCTCTCCTCGGGCCAGTCAGACACCGGGGCCAGGGGCCAGCGTCCCAGGGCAGGTGCCCGCCCTGGCTCGGGGCACTCACGTGTCTCTGGCTCACGAACAGGTGCTTGGGGGCGGCCTGGGCCCTCGTGCAGCGCAGGTACTCGCTCCAGCTGAACTCGTCCTCGTCCTCGTAACCTAGGCCCGCGCGGGGCGGACAGAGCGCCGTGCAGACCGGGGCCGGCCGCGGCCAGGGCGCCCCACACCGAGGCAGCAGAGTCGGGCAGGCCTGAGCCCCCACCGCCCTCGAGAACCTGCCCGGGCACCCGTGGCAGAAGCGTGGACACTCCGAGGGCGAGGGCTCAGCAGAGCCCTGGGGCCACGTCAGAGCGGGAGGCGGTGGGGAGGGGCCGGCTGTGCCACGGGGGAGGGGAGGGAGCCCACGGGGAGGAAGGGACGGGCCTGAGGGCCACGGCCTCGCTGTGACCAGCCTCGCTGGGCCGTACCTGTGGGGAGCTGCAGCGTGTGCCCCGTCTTCTCAAACCAGCCAGCGGGGTGGATGTCGGGGGAGTTGGCATTGACCCAGAAGTCATGGCACTCAGAATACCCGTCAAAGTGCAGTCGGAGACGGTAGCCACACACCTGGCCCCAGGGTGGGGGGAGGGGGATCACAGGGACCCTGAGGCCGGCGGACACCCACTCCCCTGCCTTCACCCCTCCTGCCCAGCCTGGTCACCCCGGGGGCTCTGATGCTAGCAGCTCCCCACCTCCCTTCCCTCCCAGGCTTCCCGAACCTTGTGCCACGCCCTCCTGCCATGAGGAAAGCTCATGTGCTTGTGAGCTCTGGGTTCTGGGTACGAGACAGGCACATCCGGTGGCATCCTCCGGCCCTTTAAGACCTAGACAGAACCCTACAGGCACCTGCCAGGCCTTTCTTTCTGTCTCTTCCCTCTCCCCGGCCGCACTCTGCTCTGGCCGCACCGAGCAAACGGCAGCGCCCTGAGCACGCGGCCTGTTCCACACCCAGAGCCTTCGCCCCCTATGCCCGGGCACCTGGGCATTCGCAGCCCGCCTCTCCCGGCCCGCGGAGGGGCCCCTTCCCCGGGGACGCTTCTCCTGCCCCCTCAGCCTCCCTGCTCACGCCGGCCCCGCGCCTGCGGGGTCACTGGCATGTCTACCTGGCTAATTCCCACACGACCGGGGCTCCTGGACAACAAGCACCTCACTGGGCTCATGCCAGCGCCCTGCCCCTGGGCTGAAGCACACGCCCACTCCGTGCCACCACCACCCCACGCGCCACCTGGTGTTTGTTCGCTTCCCGTCTTTCTGTGTGCGCCACCTTACCCCGCCCCCCCAGCCGGTGTGCTTTCTGAGGGCAGGAGAGGTCTCCCTCCTCAGAGCCCGAGCCCCGATGCCCGGGCAGCTCCCTCCATCTGTCCAGCCGGCCGGAGAGACCCCGCAGAACGGCGGTGCGAGCCGCGCTCACCTCGGCCACCGTGAGGACGAAGTACAGGGACGGGTGCTGAGGGTCGATGCCTTCCAGCTTCATGCCCGACCGGAAGCCGTTCTTGTTCGGAGGGACCGTCTGGTACTGTCAACGCACAGATGGGAGAGGACCCGCTTCCATCCGGCCTTGGCCTTGCCAGGGGCTTGGGGTGAGGGAGCGGCTTAGGCCCCGGCCGCCGGCACTACCAAAGGGACAGCTTATTTGGGGTCTTCAGTGCAGGGGTTCGGGGGGGGGGGCAGAACAGCACCCAGGCCCCTTGGAAAATGTGCGTTGAGTCAGGGCTGGACTGAAGGGTTCTCTCTCGTCCAAGCCGTTAAATACCGACATAGAGACCTGAGTAGAAGGCACCGGAATTCAAAAGGCTGCAGGCCCAGGGGGGGGTGAGCCGGGTTCCACCTCCCGATTTCTCCCCACCCTGGACCTCCCTCACTGTGGGTTCTTCCCTACGCTGGGTCCCCCACCAGCCTCTCCCCTTTCCATTCCGGCGGCAGAAACAGAAAACACCGGAAGGCCCCAGCTGGGAACACAAGCGTTTCCCGGGCGGAGTCCCACTCACGTCCTGGAAGAGGCTGACGGGCGCGGTGATGGCCTTCTGCTCCTTGAGGTACGACTCCCAGGACCAGCCCTCCTCCTTCTCCCCGGACGCTGTGGGCAGGACGCACCGCTGACACGGGGCAGCAGGGAGGGGGGCGGAGGAGGCCTGAGGGCCAGAGCAGGCTACGAGCAGACCTGGTTCCGTTTTTCTTAGAACCAAAGGGTCAGAATGGGGGCCAAGCTGAAACCGGGTTGGCTCAGTGGATAGAACGTCGGTCTGAAGACTGAAGGGTCCCAGATTCGATTCTGATCAAGGGCATGTACCTTGGCCAAAATCGGTTTGGCTCAGTGGATAGAGCGTCGGCCTGTGGACTGTAGGGTCCCAGGTTTGATTCCGGTCAAGGGCATGTACCTTGGTTGCGGGCACATCCCCGGTAGGGGGTGTGCAAGAGGCAGCTAATTGATGATTCTCTCTCATCGATGTTTCTAACTCTCTATCCCTCTCTCTTTCTCTCTGTAAAAAATCAATAATATAAATATATATTTAAAAAAAAAAAAAGGGCATGTATCTTGGTTGCGGGCACATCCCCGGTTGGGGGTGTGCAGGAGGCAGCTGGTCAATGTTTCTCTCTCATCAATGTTTCTAGCTCTCTAACCCTCTCCCTTTCTCTCTGTAAAAAAAAAAAAAAAAAAAAAAAAAAAAAAAAAAAAAAAAAAAAAAAAAAAAAAAAAATCAATAAAATATATTTTTAAAAAGAAAAAAAGAATGGGGGCTAAAACAGCCAGGTCAGACCAATGGCGGGTACAGACTCGCTCATGCCACCAAAGGGAAGCAATGCCACGTGATACTCAGTCTTTGGAGGCCTGCTCACAACAGGAGAAAGGCTGAACACACAGAGAACACACATACTCTAATTCACACACCACAAACATTGTTGTTTTTTCCCTCATACTCTCTCACACATACTGATGCTTCCCTATATACGTACAACACCCCATCAGAACCGTAACCTGCACTCCCGGCCTCACGCCTCCCAGTGCACGTCCCCCCTGCACGTGAATATCTATACCCACAGGCCACGTACCAGGCTGGCCCCCGTTCCACTCCTCACTTTCCGGAATGCTGGCCGCGGGCTGTCCCTCTGGGTCCTTCCTTTCTTCTCGCTTCTCCTGAGGAAAGCAAGCCCGACCCCAGCTTCGTCCTCATGAACTTGAGAGAAGCTCTGGGGGCTACTCCCGGCCCCTGCCTGGCTCTCTGGCCACACGGTGCTTTGCCCCAAACTGGGGCAATTGCTCCCAGCCCACCAGAAGGAAGGCAATCCAGCAGACAACCTCTGCCACCGGGGCACAGAACCCCACCAACACCCTCTCCCCACCACCAGCTGCTCCACAGCGGACCTATAACCCGCCTCCTGCCCGGGGAGGGGAACGGGGCCCAAACAGCCGCCGGTGCTGGTGCTGACCGCCCGCCGGACGCTCATGCCGTTTCTTCCAGCTTCTCTGTGCTCCCCAGCCTGGGGCCCGGGCTCCCTGACGGAGCTCAGCCTGTCCACCCCGCTCTCCTGGGGCCGGTGCGTGGGAGTGGGGGTGAGCCGTGGCCCTGGACTGAGGTGGGAGCTCCAGAAAGCAGCGGAGCGACCTATCCCTTCCCCTCCCGCCAGGCACAGGCCCTGCCTCGGGGTGAAACCCTAAAACACGATGGGTGAGTCATTGAGTGTCTTCTCTGGCCCGCCCGGCCCTGGACTGACGGAGAGGGCGGTGGGGATGGTGGGGAGCCCCGCCCCTGCCCTCCTCCTACCAGGGCGTCTGGCTCGGACTCCTCGGAGGGGCTGTGGTACTCCCGGTACTTCCTCTTCTTCACGGGCTTGAGCAGCTCCGAGGTGCTGCTGGGGGCCTTCTGGCCGGAGGGGCCCTCCGCTGTGGCCGGCCTGCGGGAGGGGCAGCCTGAGCGAGGGACCGCGGCCCCAGGCCCGCCCGGCCCCGCCCCGGGGCTCCGGGCCACGGAGCAGGTGGAGGAGAGCCCGGCCTTACCGCTCCGGGAGCCGCGGCGGGCAGGGGCAGCCTCCCCTGCAGGCGCCGGCTTCCGGGCGGGAGCCCGGCGGCGGCTCGCACGCCCGGCACTGGCAGGTGGCACCGTTCTCCGGGGCGTCTCGCGGGGCATCTCCGGGAGGGTCCTGGGGGAGGTCCGCTGCAGGGGTGCCAAAGGGGCTCAGGCCTCCGCCATCCCAGCCACACCCAGGCCCTCCCAGCCCGGAGCCCACGCCCCCCAGGCCCTGGCCATGCCCTGGTCCTACCTCCCCGGGCTCCTCTACCGGCCACCGCCCCGCGCCCCCTCCAGCCTTCCCCGCCTGCGACCCGCCCCGGGCGCCCCTGCAGGAGCCCGGCCTCGCCCCGCAGGGGCCCCGCTCCGGCCTGGGCTCCTACCCCGCTGCTGGGCGCCCGCATCGCCGCCTCCCGCGGGCGCCTGGCCTTTTCCGTACTCGGCCACGGCTTCCCGGCGCAGCTCGGGGCTCGGGGGCTGCTCGGCTCCCACCATGGTCCGCGGCGCGGGCTCCCTTCGCCGGCTCTGGAGCGCGGGAGGGTCTCAGGGCGGCGACCAGCCATGGACCCACCGCCGGCCTCACGGTCCCTCTCCCACCCAAGCCCCGCCCCCAGCATCCCACCCAGCCCCGCCCCCAGCGTCCCACCCAGCCCCGCCCCCAGCATTCACCCAAGCCCCGCCCCCAGCATACCACCCAGCCCCGCCCCCAGCATTCACCCAAGCCCCGCCCCCAGCGTCCCACCCAGCCCCGCCCCCAGCATACCACCCAGCCCCGCCCCCAGCATCCCACCCAAGCCCCGCTCCCAGCCTTCACCCAAGCCCCGCCCCCAGCATCCCACCCAGCCCCGCCCCCAGCCTTCACCCAAGCCCCGCCCCCAGCATCCCACCCAGCCCCGCCCCCAGCATCCCACCTAGCCCCGCCCCCAGCCTTCACCCAAGCCCCGCCCCCAGCATCCCACCCAGCCCCGCCCCCAGCATCCCACCTAGCCCCGCCCCCAGCATCCCACCCAGCCCCGCCCCCAGCATCCCACCCAGCCCCGCCCCCAGCACCCTACCAAGCCCCACCCCCAGCATCCCACCCAGCCCCGCCCACCAAGCCACGCCCCCAGAGCCCACTCCCCACGAATCACGTCTCTAGAACCCCCCAGTCCCTCACTCAAAGCCCCGCCCACCGAGCCCTGCACCCCCTGCCAGCTCCCCCCTCTTCCCACCTCCGGTCCCCGCAAGCCCCTCCGCGGCGGAGGCCGGACCCGCCCGTCCCCGGAGACACTGACCCGCAAGCGGCCCCCGGGTCGCGGGGCCGGCGCCTCGGCCTCGGTCCGGCCCCGAAGCCGCGCGGTGCGGGCGCCGGAGCGGGCCGCCGGCCCTGCGCTCCGCTGCGGCCGAACGGTGGCCGTGACGGGCACTCGCTGCGGGGCGCCCGCGTGGATGGGCTCCCGGGGGGAGCAGGACACCTCCAGGGGACCGCTGGGCAGGCCCAGGGTGGCCGAGCTGGCTGTGGACAGATCCCCAGTCAGGCACCACGCAGGCGAGCCTGGCGGCTCCACCCCCAGCTCGCCGTGCCGGTGCAGGCAGGATCCATCTCCTCCCCGGATCCACACCTGCGTGGGCAGGCATGGGGGCGCTCCTCCTCCCCAAACCCCTGGCTGGGCCCACCTGGAATGATGAAGGCGGCGGTGGGCAGGTGCGGGCCAGGCCCCGGGCTGCCCCTGGGCACCAGGTGCACGCTGACCTCCCCCGTGGAGGGGCCCTTCAGGGTTCTCAGCATCTCCACTTCAGCACGCCCCTTCATCCTGGCGGGCCTACAACCAAAACACAGCCCCAGGGGCGGTCAGGGAGGGAGCGCGCTTCTTGGAGGAGGAGGCCCAGCCTCAGAGAAAAGGGGGAGCCCCGAGAGGAGTAGGGTGTTTTAGGAACATGACATCAAGCCTGACACCTGGCTGTGACCAGGTCACCCGGGTGAGGGCTCCGGCCAGCCCTGCACGTCCCCTCACGTCGTCGTAAGATGGGCATGTGTGACGGTGCTTCGGAAACGGTGACATACAGAACTGACTCTGTCTTCACGACAGAGCCCAGGCCAAGTCCAAACTCCATCTTTCTCAACCCCTACCTCCATCCCCAACAGAATCACTCCCTTCCCCGTCTGGGATCTTGGAGCCCTCAAGCACCAGGTTCTCTCTCATTCGTACAGGAGGTGGTCTTTGCTGATCGTGTTCTTTTATGCCACCTTGTCCACCACACCCTCCCCAAGCACAGTGGGCACTCAAACATTTGTTGCGTAGCCCTGGCCAGTAAGGCTCAGTTGGTTGGGTGTCGTCACATGTACCAAAAAAGGTGGCCTGTTGATTTCCCATCAGGGCACATGCCCCAGTTGTGGGCTTGATCCCCAATGGGGGGCACGCAGGAGGTAGTCAATAGATGATGTTCTCTCATCATGGATGTTTCCATCTCTCCCTCTCCCTTCCTCTCTGGAATCAATAAAAACATATTTAAAAAAAACATAAAGAGGTGGTTGAACAGGTAAATAATATAGGGGAACAAAAGACCTAGTGACATAAATATACTTAATATCAATCATTACTTAACTCCTAAAATGTGTTGGCCACTGTCCTAGGTGTCTTACCAACTCTGTCCAGGGGAATTTTCTGTGATGATGATGGGAATGGCCAACACAGTGGGCACTAGTTACATGCGGTTGAAAACTGAGCTCTTGAAAAGTGGCTGGTGTGACTTGAGAAATAGAATTTTTAATCTTATTTAAATTTAAATAATGGCCATAATTATTGTATTGAAAAGCACAACTTTATACATATTTTAATTGCCTGTTGATTCTTTCCTCAAACCACATCTCACAGTCCAATCACTTTTCTCCATGTCCATCACCACCATGCGAGTCCCACCCACCATCAGCTCTCATTGGTTTTAGAAATTGCCTCTTAACCAATTTCCTGTTCTTTCTCTCCTGTCCCCCGGTAGTCTATTCTCCAGGAAGTGAGAGCTTTAAAGCGTAACCATCGGTCTGCAGACTGAAAGGTACCAGGTTCGATTCCGGTCAAGGGCATGTACATTGGTTGCGGGCACATCCCCAGTAGGGGTTGTGCAAGAGGCAGCTGGTCGATGTTTCTCTCTCATCGACGTTTCTATCTCTCTCCCTTCCTCTTTAAAAAATCAATAAAAAAATATATATTGAAGCGTAGACCACATGTATTATCCAAAATTCCTCAATGGCTCTTCCTTGCCCTTAAAATCAAACCAAAATGCTTTCTCCTATAGAATCTAACCCGTCTTCCTCTTCACCTTTCTCCTCCACCCTCTTCCCCATGTCTCCACCCCGGACAGGATCTGGGCTCCTTCCATACCACTTCCAAGCCTTTGCCTCAGCTGTTCCTCCACCTGGAATGCTCTTCCCAAAGATGTCTGCTCGGCTGCCTTCTTCCCCTCCTCCAAGCCTCAATTCTGGGGTCACCTTCTCAGAAGAGGTCTTTCCTGACCTCTCAAAGAGGCAGCCTGCCCTCACCCTTTTTCCTGCTTATCTTATTACTGTGTTTATTTCCTTCATTAGAATCAATAATGATCTACCTTCATTTACTTCTTTATGTTCGATCAGTCATCCCCACTTATGTGTAAGCTCCATGAGGGCAAAGATGTTATCTGTCTTGTTCACTTCGGCTTCCCTGGCACTTGGAATGGTTCCTGACACACATCAGGTACTCAACAAGTATGTGTGCTGGATTCCGATAATTTCAATTTGTTAATAAAAAGCACACAGTGGTTAGAGCATCCGCCTTCGGATGGAAGGATAGCAGATTCCATTCTGTTCAAGGGAGCACACCTCGGTTTCAGGCTCCATCCCCAGTCCTGGTTGGGGCATGTGAGGGAGGCAACCAATCAATCTCTCTCTCTCACATTGATGTTTCTCTCTGTCTCTATCTCTCCCTTCCACTCTCCTTAGAAATCTATGGGAAAAATATCCTTGGGTGAGGATTAAAAAACAAAAAACACAGTGTTGATAACTTGGTTGCTTTAAGGTGTTAGCAGTACTTGACAATGGCTTCTGGTATACAAATTAAAGGAAAGAATGTGAGCCTAGTCTTTTTTCTTTCTTTCTTTTTTCTTTTTTTTAATAATGTAGCACTTATTTGTTTTGTTTTTTTTGTTTTTTAAATGGTACAGCTACTTTGCTTTTATTTATTTATTTTTAATCCTCACCCGAGGATATTTTTTTCATTGATTTTTAGAGTGGAAGAGAGAGGGAAAGACAGAGAACTATTGATGTGAGAGAGACACATCAATTGGTTGCCTCCTGCATGAGTCCTGACCAGGGCCAGGGAGGAGCTGGCAATCGAGGTACATGCTCTTGACCGGAATCGAACCCAGGACCGGAATCAGTCCACAGGCCCATGCTTTATCCGCTGAGCCAAACTGGCGAGGGCTGTGCCTAGTCTTAAGACAGAGTTAAGACAGTTTGAATCTCAGTTCCACTACGTAATACCTATTACTCTGAGTAAGTAGCTTCCCTTCTGTAAGTTCAGTTTCCTAGTGTGTAAAACGAACCTGGTAATAGTATCTAAAGGGCTTTAAGATTAAATGAAAAAAAAATGTATGAAATCTTGAGAGCAGAAGGCCTTCAACAAATACCAATCCACTCCCTTTTACCAGGAATTCCAGGGAACTTGGTAGCTTCTGGCTAATAACACGGAAGCTGCTTGCTTGCAAAATCAGCTTGCAAAGGTTGCTGTCTCTCTTCCCCCTCCCTCCTGATGTTCTTTTGAATTTATTTTCCAGTATTTCCTTCCTAAAATAGAGTCCATCCTCCACATTATAAAGTGTATACGCAGGTAGGCAAAGGCAAGATATGTCACCTGACTAAATAAGGCAACATTCAAACCAAGGTCTGTTTCCCATTTTATATTCATAAAGTAGAATTCCCTGAATTCCAATTATTTTGCTTTGCACAGCTGACATGCTATTTGTACCACGTAAGTTCTTTTCAACAGTCAATCTGTTTATGTAGAACATAGTCAGTCATTCAGTGTGACTGTGGTTACTCTTGAAAGAATTCCATTCTGTTTCCAGCCTATCACGTGCTTCGGGCCTGTCCAGGGGCGGGACTGAGAGGACTGCCCTTCCATTCAGGCTTGCTGCCTTTTCTCCAGCGCACACTGCAGGGCCAGCTGGTGTCAGCTCCATTCTGTGCTCTGGGAACACAATCTCCAACAAGACTAACTGCTCTCGTGAAGCTTATATTCTAGAAATAAGGGATAGAGGTGAGGCTGAGGATAAAATTTGAAAATCCTCATGAAGAGAGATGGCCTTGAGAACCTTAGGACAGAGAATAAAGGAAAAGGTGGGAGTCTCGAGGCATGCCAAGATGGATAGGATGGGAAATGGATGCTCTAGCAGAAGAGACTTAGGAGGAATCTGCCATGTGGTGAGAAGGGATGCAGAAGGGTCTGGGCTTCTGGAGGACACATGAGGCAATCTTTCAGGAAGGTGCGACTGCTCAGTGGCGTCGGATGCCACTGACAGATCAAGTCAGATGTGGGCTAAGAGCTGGCCATGTTAGCAGGAAGGGGGTCCTCAGACACCTCAGTAACCACTTCAGAAGAGCTGTGGACACAAAAACCTGACCGGAGGGGGTTTTAAAGAGAATTTTTTTTTTATAAAAAAAAAAAAAATACAAGACAAAAGAAGAAATCGTTGATCAGTTCAATATTTATTGACCACCTACTATGCGCCAGACACTCTTCTAGACAATGCAGGTTTACCAGTGAACAAAACAGACACTCAGCCACAGCGTCTATGTTCTAGCGGGGAAACTGGCAATAAGGATCCGTCCTGTACGAAAACGGAGACAATGGGTCTGAGAACTCTTTCAGGGGTTGGACTGGGAGGGAGAGCATGGAAATGGCATTTGGAGGGTGATGTGGTCTCAAGGAAGAGGTTTTGTTGGTTTTGCTTTTAAAAACAGGAAATGTTACAGCATGTGTGTAGCGGATGAGAATGAACCTACAGAGAAGAAGAAATGGACAGTGTGGGAGGAAAAGAATAATTCTAGAAGCCAAGCCCTTGTGTGTGCAGGAGGGAGAGGGTCACCCTGTGTGTTGGGATCCATTGCAGGTGGGTGTGTGCTCTTGGCTACAGTCTTTCTCCCCAACTAGGCAGCTGGCTTTCCTGAAGCCTGGATCTGCCTTCTCTGTTACTTGGATTCGCCCCTCCTTGACCACTCCATTGGAAGCTTACACCACATTTCCATAGGCAATGCCCCACCAGACCCTCCCAGCAGCACAGCCGGTCTGGTGTGGCTCCCGGGCCTGAGCCAGGCGCAGGGAATCCGTCCACGCCTACCCCTGCAGCTGGGTCACACGTTTAGAACCTCACTTCTGTTCCTTCTGCTCAGTACCTTTCCCAGCTTTCTGGAAAATTCCTAATCATCCTTCAAGATGCAGCTTGAGTGCCTCCCAGCATCCACCCCCAAAACAAAGTTAATCACCCCCTCTCTCCTGTGTTCTGCTCCACCACAGTCTAAGCATTAACTTCCCGTCTCCCCCGGACACAGAGCAAAGCACCTGGTGTGCAAAGAGCTTGCTCCAGAGATGGCACTCCACACACAGTCCCCGAGGGCTGAGTCACAGAGGTGGGAGTACAGGCTGGTCAACAATGTAAGAAACAAATGGTCCTGCAATACATACATGGCTTAGGCATTCTCGCCTTAGGGACTAGAATACCATTTCCTCCTCCTGTGCAGCTCAGAGGCTGGGGGAGGAGGGGTACAGTGGGCATCCCAGCTCTCGGGCCTGTCACTGATGCCCTCAGCTGTCAGCTTCTCTGGGCATTGCCCTCGCCAGGGGAGCTGCGGCCAGGGCCTTGTCCTGGAAGCGGCTCTCCAGGAGTTAGCTGCGATCAGCTACAGAGGCTCACTGGAGCGCCTTCAAGGCCATCTCCGCTCCGGGGCGGCCCTTGGGACAGACAGGCTGGGGCCTCTGTTGAGACGACACAGGCAGTTCAGCCTTTTTGCCCAAACACCCCCAAGGGCACCCCAACAAACCTACACCCGGGCCTCCCTCCCAGAGTCTGTCTCCAGGGAACCTGACCCGAAACAACCCTGGATCCCCAGCGCAGAGCTGTCTGGCCCGTCGCAGATGCCCAGAAATCCTTCCTGTCTGCGTCTTCTGGTCTCTGCTGGCCGAGGTCCCCCACATCTGCCTTTCAAGGCCTCAGAGCTCGATAGATGCCCTCCCTCTGGGTGTTGGGAGCCTATACCCTCCCCACCCCCCACACACACTCACACACACACTCACATACATATACTCACTCACACTCTCTCACACACACACTCACACACACACACACATATATACACACTCACACACACACTCACACACACACACTCACACACACATACATATACTCACTCACACACACACACTCACTCACACACACACATATACTCACTCACACTCTCTCACACACACATATATACACACTCACACACACTCACACACACATACATATATACACACTCACACTCACACACACACACACACACACATACATATACTCACACTCTCTCACACACACTCACTCACACATTCACACACACATATATACACACTCACACACACACACACTCACACACACACACACATATACATATACTCACTCACACTCTCTCACACACACTCACACACACACACTCACACACACATACATATACTCACTCACACTCTCTCACACACACTCACTCACACATTCACACACACATATATACACACACACACTCACACACACACACATATACTCACTCACACTCTCTCACACACACTCACTCACACATATATATAAACACTCACACTCACACACACATATACATACACACACACACTCACACACACACATATACTCACTCACACTCTCTCACACACACACTCACTCACACATATATATAAACACTCACTCACACACTCTCTCACACACACTCACTCACACATACATATACTCACTCACACTCTCTCACACACACTCACTCACACATTCACACACACATATATACACACTCACACACACACTCACACACACATATACTCACTCACACTCTCTCACACACACTCACACATTCACACACACATATATACACACTCACACTCACACACACACACTAACACACACATATATACACACTCACACTCACACACTCACACACACACACACTCTCACACACACACTCTCACACACACACTCACACACGGCTGGACGCCGGGGTGGGGGGGGATTTGGGGGTAGGGGGAAGGTTTGGGGGGGATTTGGGGGTAGGGGGAAGGTTTGGGGGTATATTTGGGGGTGGATTTGAGGGTAGGGGAAGGTTTGGGGGTATATTTGGGGGTGGAGGTTTGGGGGGGATTTCGGGGTAGGGGGAAGGTTTGGGGGTATATTTGGGGGTGGAGGTTTGGGGGGGATTTGGGGGTGGAGGTTTGGGGGGATTTGAGGGTAGTGGGAAGGTTTGGGGGTATATTTGGGGGTGGAGGTTGGGGGGATTTGGGGGTAGGGGGAAGGTTTGGGGGTATATTTGGGGGTGGAGGTTTGGGGGGGTTGGGGGTAGGGGGAAGGTTTGGGGGTATATTTGGGGGTGGAGGTTTGGGGGGGTTGGGGGTAGGGGGAAGGTTTGGGGGTATATTTGGAGGTGGAGGTTTGGGGGGGATTTGGAGGCAGGGGGAAGGTTTGGGGGGGATTTGGGGGCAGGGGGAAGGTTTGGGGTATATTTGGGGGTGGAGGTTTGGGGGGACTTGGGGGTAGGGGGAAGGTTTGGGGGTGGAGGTTTGGGGGTAGGGGGAAGGTTTGGGGGTATATTTGGGGGTGGAGGTTTGGGGAGGATTTGGGGGTAGGGGGAAGGTTTGGGGGTGGAGGTTTGGGGGTAGGGGAAGGTTTGGGGGGGATTTGGGGGCAGGGGGAAGGTTTGGGGTATATTTGGGGGTGGAGGTTTGGGGGGGGTTGGGGGTAGGGGGAAGGTTTGGGGGTATATTTGGGGGTGGATTTGAGGGTAGGGGAAGGTTTGGGGGTATATTTGGGAGTGGAGGTTTGGGGGGGATTTGGGGGTAGGGGGAAGGTTTGGGGGTATATTTGGGGGTGGAGGTTTGGGGGGGGATTTGGGGGTGGAGGTTTGGGGGGATTTGAGGGTAGTGGGAAGGTTTGGGGGTATATTTGGGGGTGGAGGTTTGGGGGGATGTGGGGGTAGGGGGAAGGTTTGGGGGGATTTGGGGGTGGAGGTTTGGGGGGGATTTGGGGGCAGGGGGAAGGTTTGGGGTATATTTGGGGGTGGAGGTTTGGGGGGATTTGGGGGTAGGGGGAAGGTTTGGGGGTATATTTGGGGGTGGAAGTTTGGGGGGGATTTGGGGGTAGGGGGAAGGTTTGGGGTATATTTGGGGGTGGAGGTTTGGGGGGGTTTGGGGTAGGGAGAAGGTTTGGGGGTATATTTGGGGGTGGAAGTTTGGGGAGGATTTGGGGGTAGGGGGAAGGTTTGGGGGGGATTTGGGGGCAGGGGAAGGTTTGGGGTATATTTGGGGGTGGAGGTTTGGGGAGGATTTGGGGGTAGGGGGAAGGTTTGGGGGGGATTTGGGGGTGGAGGTTTGGGGGGATTTGGGGGCAGGGGGAAGGTTTGGGGGGGGATTTGGGGGTGGAGGTTTGGGGGGATTTGGGGGCAGGGGGAAGGTTTGGGGTATATTTGGGGGTGGAGGTTTGGGGGGGGTTTGAGGGTAGGGGGAAGGTTTGGGGGGTAAGGGATGGGCTGGAGCGGGTTCCAGGGCAGGGAGCCGGGGGAGCCAGGGGGAGGGAGCCCCTTCCATCGCGTCCCCGGGCTCGGCGGAGCCGGGCGGCCCCCATCCTGAGCCCCGCAGGGCGGCCACTCTTTAAAGCGCCAAAATGGCGGCGTCCTTTACCCCCCCCCCCCCCCCCCCCGGGGCAGAGCCGTCCGCTTTCCGCCCTGGAGGCCGGCGGCCGCTTCCGAGGGGGCCCAGCCCGCCTCCGCCCGCCGCCGCCCGCCGCCGCGAGTGAGGCCCCCGGCCCCGCGCCCGGGCCCCCGCCGCCCGCCGCCCGCCGCAGGGGACCCCGCAGCCGGACCCGCACCCGCCGCCCGCACCCTCCCGGCCGCCCCGCCCCCGCCCCCGCCCGCCGGGCCGCAGATCGGGCGGCCGCGGTGGGGCGGCGGGCCCGGGTCCGAGCCCCGGCCGCGGTCTCCTACCTGCGAGGCCCGCAGCGCCCCCGCGCCGCACCCCGGCCGGAGCCCCGCCGGCTGGCGCCTGCGCACCGGGCCGCCCGCCGCCTGCAGGCCGGGGTGCGGGCCGCGCGGCGCGGGTCCGGGGGGCGGGGGCCCCGCATCGGGCAGCGCCGCCTCTGCGTGCCTCCGCGCCCAGGCCCGCGGCCCGCGGCCTTCCCCTTCCCCCGGCGCCGCTGCGTGGGCGAGGCGGCTGGCGGCGTCTGTCCCGCAGCCCGCAGCCCGGGAGCTGTGTGCGTGTGCGCGCGCGCGCGTGTGTGTGTGTGTGTGCGCGCGCGCGTGCGGGGTGGGGGGGTGCACGCACCCGGAGCTGGGAGAGCCCAGGCCCAGCGGGGTGAAGGAAGCCGAGGCTGCACCCAGAGCACCCCGGCTGCGCTGCCTTTCCGCCGCCCCTGCCCCACCCCACCGCCTGCAGAGGGGGAGCCAGGAGCATCCGTGGAGACCCCGGAAGAGGACAGGCCCCGGAGAGGCCAGGCCCCGGGAGAGGCCAGGGCCCCGGGAGAGGCCAGGCCCCCGGAGAGGCCAGGGCCCCGGAGAGGACAGGGCCCGGAGAGGACAGGGCCCCGGAGAGGACAGGGCCCCGGAGAGGACAGGGCCCGGAGAGGACAGGGCCCCGGAGAGGACAGGGCCCCGGAGAGGACAGGGTCCGGGAGAGGACAGGGCCCCGGAGAGGACAGGACCCCGGAGAGGACAGGGCCCCGGAGAAGCCAGGGCCCCGGAGAGGACAGGGTCCGGGAGAGGCCAGGACCCCGGAGAGGACAGGGCCTGGAGAGGCCAGGGCCCGGAGAGGCCAGGACCCCGGAGAGGACAGGGCCCCGGAGAAGCCAGGGCCCCGGAGAGGACAGGGCCCCGGAGAGGCCAGGGCCCCGGAGAGGCCAGGGCCCGGAGAGGCCAGGACCCCGGAGAGGACAGGGCCCCGGAGAAGCCAGGGCCCCGGAGAGGACAGGGCCCCGGAGAGGACAGGGCCCCGGAGAGGCCAGGACCCCGGAGAGGACAGGCCCCGGAGAGGCCAGGGCCCCGGAGAGGCCAGGGCCCGGAGAGGCCAGGGCCCCGGAGAAGCCAGGGCCCAGGAGAGGACAGGGCCCCGGAGAGGACAGGGCCCCGGAGAGGACAGGGTCCGGGAGAGGACAGGGCCCCGGAGAGGCCAGGACCCCGGAGAGGCGAAGGGCCCCGGAGAAGCCAGGGCCCCGGAGAGGCCAGGCCCCGGAGAGGTGAAGGGCCCGGAGAGGACAGGGCCCCGGAGAGGCCAGGGCCCCGGAGAGGCCAGGGCCCCGGAGAGGACAGGGCCCCGGGAGAGGACAGGGCCCCGGAGAGGCCAGGGCCCCGGAGAAGCCAGGGCCCCGGAGAAGCCAGGGCCCCGGAGAAGCCAGGCCCCGGAGAGGACAGGCCCCGGAGAGGACAGGGCCCGGAGAGGCGAAGGGCTGTGCGATCTAAGGGAAGGAGGCCGCGCAGCCTGGGTTCTGAGCGGGCCCTCCTGGGTGACAGGCGGCCTGAAGCGCTCCTGCGGTTGGAGGGCTCCGCTGCCTTTGGCTGAGAGCGCGGCCTGGGGCACCACACTGTGCCCTCCAGACCTCCATTGGTAAAAACTGTCCCCCACCTCCTGGCACAAGGTTGTCCTCAGTCATCGTTCCTGTTGTGGTGTTGCTTCGAGCAAGTCACCCCTCCTCTGTGCTTCAATTTCCATGGCTGCGCTCTCCGCTTCCACAGATCTGACTAGTCAATGCTCCCTTTACTGGTGCCTGTGACATTTACATAGATTTGTGTAATGCAAGAGGTTAAGAAACTGCAAGCTGCCGAAACCGGTTTGGCTCAGTGGATAGAAAGTTGGCCTGCGGACTGAAAAGTCCCAGGTTCCTGTCAAGGGCACATACCTTGGTTGCAGGCACATCCCCAGTAGGGGGTGTGCAAGAGGCAGCTGATCAATGATTCTCTCTCATCGATGTTTCTCTCTATTCCTCTCTCTTCCTCTCTGTAAAAAATAATCAATTAAAAAAATACACACACACACACACACACACACATATATGAAACTGCGGGCTCCAAAAAGAAAGGAAGGAAACACCCGTTTCTGTATCCCTAGCACCCAGCACAGAGCTGGATGCTGAGTAAGTACTCAATAAGTATGTTCACTAAACAGTGTGCACATGCAGGTGAAAACACAGCACTTCCGCGCACATTCCCCCCTCTCCTACACCAATGATTTAATCGAATCTATTAAGATGGTGGCCACAGATCGGACCTACAGGTTCCTGACTTCAGGTCCAGATGAGGAAATTGTTCCTTATTGATTGTAGGCAAAATCCCCCAAATGGTTGTGGTCATCAGGTTTAATGTATGCGGCATGTAACTATTCTGGTTGCTATGCCAATGCACTGCCTGTGCTCCTCCTCACTGCAATGTCAAATTTTTAATCATATGTTATTGGGAACAGGGCTGCATCCATTGAGGATGCTGGTTGCCATAACAATAGGTTTCTTTTTACACATCAATACACACACAGCCATCCGCTCATTTTTCTTTCATCTCTATGCAGACTGTGCTTGTTCTAGATTCCAAAGGGTTTATTTTAGGTTTTCAGATTAAAAAAAAAAGGGGGGGTGGAGCTACACAAACGTATGGCTTCTCAACAACATGCATCTGTGAGGTAGTGATTCAGACAGGCCAGGATGAGCTGGGAGACCCTGGAATGAACATGGATCGGAGTTGCTGGGACACTGTTTTTCTGTTCATTAACAGTACGTTGGTTTTCACACCTTCGGTGGCCTGCTTGCTGGAACACCTGCAGGGAGGGAGTGCCCTGCCCAAGTTGATGGATTTGGGGAAGGTTCTGTAGCCAGAATTTGCTCTGCTGGTCCAGTGTGTCCTCAGGGAGCAAGTGAACGAGTCCAACCCCTTGGCCCCAGTGTCTTCTCTAAGTTAACCCCCTAACCAGGAATGGACCCCCAACATTTAAAACACTGATTAGAACCCTTGTCAGTTTAGTTCAGTGGTTAGAGCACCAGCCTGTGGACCAAAGGGTCATGGGTTTGATTCCTGGTCAAGGGCACATACCTCAGTTGCAGCCCCAGTTGGGGCATGAGCAGGAGACAGCCAATTGATGTTTCTTCCTCTCTCCACCTCCTCTCTCCCTTTCCACTCTTTCTAAAAATAATGGAAAAAATATATATATTGATGATTAGAAACACTGAGAAAACTTATTTGTAATACCTTTCTGTTCCTACAGATTTTAATTCACCATTGAGGCAATCCTTGTGTTTTAGGAAAATCATCAGGAAGGGCCTTCTATGTAAGTGTGAAAACACTCCTGGTTTCAGCAACATGGCAGACTTTGCTAATAGTGAGCTTTCTAACACAAACACCCCAAAATCCTGGATAAAATATTATAAGAAAGGAAGCAACCCAGCAAGCCAATACAGGAACAAAGTAAATTCACTGCTGAACTTGCAAGAAGGGAAAACCAGCAGGAGCCGGAAACTAGGGCGAACAGAGCAAGGAAGCCTGCTGTCTCCCTTGTCCTAGAGGTAGCTATTGGATAGAGGCAGGAACCAGCTGCCAGGGAACTGTTTGATCACACACATGACCAATGATGGAATCTTGGGTCATGTGACAATGGGAGTTGGAACTGAATCCCCTGTATAAAGACTGGATTCTCGCCACCCTCAGACCATATATTATACTTGGGAGCCAGGGTGGGCAAGGCAGGGGAGATCCACATTTCCATTAAACGTGGCTATCTTACAGTACCACTCACCCCTGGACGTGGGTGTATTATCCAGCACATCAAAGGCTGACAAAATTTGTTTCGCTTTGGGAATTGATACCTATATGTGTAACCACTAGAAAAATTTGTCTCAGTGAGGGCCAGAGCCCCAGCTATTTCCCTTACCCCCACTGTAAGGGAAATAGCTGGATCTTTTTCTCAACTTAATATTAGAATTCATATTTTACGATGATGCTGAGGCACCCTATGAAAAAGAATCAATTGACCAAATTGCATTAGTTTTGCCTAGCCAGTTTGGCACAATGGATAGAGGGTCGGCCCGCAGACTGAAGGGTTGAGGTATGATTCTGGTTAAGCGCACATAACTCTTGGTTGCAGGCTTGATACCGGGGCATGTGTAGGAGGCCACCAACTGATGTCTCTCTCTCACATCAATGTTTGTCTCTCCTCCCTTCCACTCTCTTAAAAAAAAATCAATAGAAAAATGTCTTCGAGTGAGGATTAACAATAACAACAAAAAGTATCAACTTATATTGCTTCTGAATACATGTCACAAGCTGTGGTTGGCACACTGCAGCTTGCGAGTGCGAGCCACACAGGGCTCTTTGGCCCCTTGAGTGTGGCTCTTCCACAAAATACCATGGCCTGGGCAGGTCTATTTTGAAGTGGCATTAGAAGTTTAAAAAATGTGCCAAAACCGGTTTGGCTCAGTGGATAGAGCGTCGGTCTGTGGACTGAAAGGTCCCAGGTTCGATTTCAGTCAAGGGCATGTACATTGGTTGCAGGCACATCCCTAGCAGGGGGTGTGCAGGAGGCAGCTGGTCGATGTTTCTCTATCATCGGAGTTTCTAGCTCTCTATCCCTCTTCCCTTCCTCTCTGTGGAAAATCAATAAAATGTATTTTAAAAAAAAGTTTAAAAAATGTGGCTCTCAAATTTCAATCGTCATACTGTTGATATTTGGCTCTGTGGAATAATGAGTTTGCTGACCACTGAACACCCTCAGGGCCCAGACTGTGGTTGCTAAATGTCATTTCCAAATGAAAGTCAGCAGGGCTCCTTAGAGAAATGGAAATTCCAGGTATGGGACTAAAAAGATGAGCCTGGACTGCATTAATAAACTCACTTTAAACTCTAAATAACAAACAACAAAAAAAACACACAATAAAATGATAAACCTGGAAATCTTACCACAGGAGTCAAGAAAGCTGCAAAGATTATTAGGGCTGTTTCAGAACTCAGGAGGCAACCCACTGACCAAAGATGCAAAAGATCCAATCAGTAAGAACTGCAATGGATTGAAAAATTATGGCTGAACAGTTCAGTGGATGTAGACCAAGATCAATGGCTGCCACTATGACAAAACCAGACCCCTAAATAGAAACCCTATAAATTAAGGAGGTTTAAGATGTCTTTTATAGTTACCTAATAAACTATCTTCAGCTGTAATGTCTAGGATTTCTTTCCAACTTATCTGGCGAAGTGGGCAGGAACGTAGATTAAGCTGCTTGAGTATAGGGGAGAGATTTGTACTATTCTCTAGCTGGTCTTTTAAATTTGTTGTAATAACAATAATGTATTAAACATTACACTCAAGGCTATTTATGAATGACTAAAGTACAGTCAAACCTCATTTCCCGAACATCTCCCATCTCAAACAATTCGCTATTCAACTGGACAAATCTTTCATGCCGATACCTGTATGGTCAGTAATGTATATCTCAGGCTACAAAGGCGAGAATGGGCGAGTATGAGTCTGTTTACAGCTGTTACCATCTCAAGTTATTGTGTGTGAATATTTTTTTTTTTTTTTGCTTTTGTTGTTGCTTATTTTCATTTTTTACTGAACATTTCACTTGTTTTTTAGTTAAATTTTCATTTATACTTAATATCCTTCTTATTGTAGTGTGTTTTACAGATTAAACAATACATCAGATATGTACTGTATTAAGGAAGGTTAAAAAAGGGCATCATGCCGAAACCGGTTTTGCTCAGTGGATAGAGCATAGGTCTGCGGACTGAAAGGTCCCAAGTTCGACCCTGGTCAAGGGCATGTACCTTGGTTGCGGGCACATCTCCAGTGGGGGGTGTGCAAGAGGCAGCTGGTCGATGTTTCTCTCTCATCTATGTTTCTAGCTCTGTATCCCTCTCCCTTTCTCTCTGTAAAAATTCAATAAAATGTAAAAAAAAAAAAAAAAAAAGCATAATTTAGGGGTCTAGAATGGGTTAATTCAATTTACATTATTTCTAATGGTTTTCAAAAAGCCTTTCAGAATGAATTAAGTTGGTGAAGTGAGTTCCCACTGTAGCAGTGGATACTAAGACCTGGGCACCATACTCCACCTCTTTGCCTATCTTTTTCTCAATGGGCCAAAGCATTTGACTATTCCGTCTGTATTTTAATAAAGGCAGCTACTAATTAACTAGCGGCTGTGCCAAGCCCTTTGATAATAGCACTCACTCCACAACATTAGAAGGTACTGTTTTACAGATTGAGGACACGGCTTCCTTTCTATTGCGTATCACTCACATCTAAGTAAAGCTGCTTCCAGGTCCCTTCTTGGCCCTGTGCTAGGGACCTCACCCTCAGGGGCGGGAGGCGATGCAGCAATCAGGGGAAGGCGACATCCCCATCACACCTCTGCTGTTTTAACCTTCTTTATATACAGTACATATCTGATGTATTATTTAATCTGTAAACAAACACACTACAACAAAAAGGATACTAAGTATAAATGAAAATTTAACTAAAAAGCAAGTGAAATGTTCAGTAAAAAAGTGAAAATAAGCAACAAAAGCAAAAAAATATATTCACACAGAACTTGAGATGGTAACAGCTGTAAACGTTCATACTCGCGCATTCTCACCTTTGTAACCTGAGAGATACAGGTATGTGACTGGACAGGTCACATATAGGTATCAGCATCAAAGATTTGTGACATCCCCAAGGGATCCCGTATGGCAAGGGTAGTTCTCAGGTGACACACGCCAGAATCGGGCTCCTTCCTCTGGTTCTGAACCACAGCGTCTGTCCCTTGGTAGTTGTGTTATGAGCTATGACAGCTTGTGTCATAGCTACTGGTTGATGGCTTAGGTTTTTATATATCTAAACTGTCATGGAAAATGTTCTAACTGCTACAATATAAAAACGGGTAAAATTGTACAAATAAGACAGGACTAATACAAAAAAGACTTAGTAATTTTGATCCTTCCCAATAGCTAGCAAATGTCTATCCTCACCACTTCAAGGATGACACTGAAGCACAAAACAGGCCAGTGATCCAGCTGATCCCCGAATCATTTTGGGGACTGAACACCAGATCCTTTCTGTCATGGTCAAGTCAGAAACAGCAGCTGTGATTCTGGGGCGACTTTGGTGCTAAGTGGGAATACACAATAAAGCCAAAGCAAGCCTTTCCCTCGGTAAGCACTTTATTGAGGAGATTAAGCATAAAATAGGTTAACAAAGTGGAAGATACCAAAGATGAAAGATGGTAACACAGGAGCAGGTAAAACTCAAACTGGCCATAAAGGCACTATGGTGTGTCAATGAACAGTCTGGTAAAATAAAGGGGAATCAAGATGTTGCCCACTTCTCTTTTGCTAACAGCTTAATAGCCACAGATCACTATATGGCATGACGTAGACTGCTGGACTCAACTTACAAGTTGGCAAGAAACTAATCATTTTATCAGACAACTCTGTTCTCAAGTGGACCAATGCTACAGTGGTGCAGCTAATGATGGAGGTCCATAAGGTATGGAATAAGACTAGATTTTTAATAAGCTGGTCTTTGCCATTACTATAAAAACTTACGAGTGCAGGAATTTACCTATATCCACTGTGGGCCAGCTAACAATGTGGACAAAGCTGCCTATTATACCATGTGATATAATATTAACATGAGGATGTTGCATACTCTTAAGAGTCAAATTTCACCGTATAGCACCCCCCTCCCTCTCCTTCTAAAAGTATTTGTTCTTTCTCTAAAAACAAGAGAACTTTGGTCAAAGTCAAGTCTTTAACTTGTCTTTACACACCGAATTCTGAAAAGCAGTGGAGGCTTGCCTCTTCCTAAGTCAGTAACTTTTGTTCTTCCAAATTGGCAAAATAATGAACTATAATTACAGGCACCAGTTTCTTCTCTGAAATTCTGCAGTATATATTGAAAAAAACAAACTACCCAACCATTCCTTATAAAAACCTAAATTAAAAAGTACCAAAGAAAGTAAGGTTTCATTATTTAAAACTCATTAATTTAGGCAAAACTGCATAACAGGTTGACTATAAAATATTTTATTTTTAACCTAACTTGTTAAATGGGCAGATGCAATAACTTTGGCAAATTTGATTTAACAGAACAAAAATTTTATCGAAATTGACTAATTTATTGCTGGTCTGAGGCTTGCCTTGTTTTACATTTGAGTAGAATTTACATTGTTTCCACAAACAGATTATCAATATTAAAAGGAATTAATAGCAACCTATTCAATAAGGCAATCATCTTGGTAGCAAACTTTTATTGAAATCTTACATAACTCAGGCTTTATAAAAAGCCAACATAATTGAAAAATGGGTTCTCCCTCTAAAGCCTTAAGTATTCAAAGCTTGAAACTGTTTAAATTTAAAAGTCTGCAAACAAAACAAAACCCCTGCAGCAGATCCTGCTGAAATACTTAAAAAAAAAAAAAAAAATCTAAATGAGCTTAATCTTTACAAAAGTTATTTTAGCTCAAAAGCTATAAAATCAAAGTTATCTTAATTCTACAAAGAAGGGAGGAGGTCTTCATGCCACCATTTTAGAACCCCATCTTTCTCATCAATTTGGCCACAAATCAAATTTCTGTGTGCCCTTGTTTTCAGGAGATCCCTCTTACAAAAGAGGCCAAGTACAAACATGGAGGAGTAACTGCCTCAGCAAGTAGGAAAGTGTTCCATAATAGTGTGCAAAGAACATAGAGTTCTGGGTTAATCTCTGGAACTTGATCTGGACCGTGACCTTGACTTTGAGTGAGATCTAGAACGAGATCTGGAAGCTCTTTTTGGTGGAGGGGACACAGAATGAGCCTTTGAGGGAGGAGCAGGTGGGGGAGATTTGGAACGAGACTGGCTCCTCGATCTAGACTTTGACTTTATATCACCTTTTCCATTTTCTTTGGGGGAACGGGATCGAGAACGAGACCTGCTCCGAGATTTCTCATACTCCTTAGACCTGCTCCGAGAGCGTGAACGGGAGCCTCGATCAGACTTGGGCTTTGATTTGCTCTTTGATCTTGATTTCCTGCCTTTGGACCGAGAGCGTGATCGACCTTTGCTCCGAGACCTGGATCTGAACAAGAAAAGCAGATTTTTCTTTTAGTACCTCACCAGAACACACAAATACTCCATAAACAAATACAGTGTCATCAAGATTATTATTTACCGGGAGCGGCTTTTTGAGACACTTCGAGATCTACTGCGGCTGCTCCTGCGACTCCTACTTCGTGATCTCCTTCTAGAACGTGACCTGTAAGAACCAAAACAAAAACTTAATCTCAGTACATCTCAAGAGGTCTGTGCCACTTACAAAGAACCATAAAAAGACCAACACAAAATTCAAATCCACTGCCAAGACATCTGGAAAAGAACCTAATGAAGTAGCCAAAAACTGACCTAATTTCACTTAAGAATCAATTAAGATAATCTCATTTGAATTTTTCTTTGTTCTTAGGAAATACTATATCCTCCCCTCTCCATTATTCTTCAAGTTACCTTGATCTGCTTCCAGAGTAAGACCGCCTATGGCTCGATCGTGCTTTATCTTCAATGAGCCTAATATTTCTGCCATTTATTTCTGTACCATCTAGTTTATCCAACGCCCGTTTCATATCAGAGTAGGAGCGAAACTCAATAACTCCTTCATTTGTGCGTTCTTTGTGAGCATCCGCATAGGTTACTTCACCTGCTTGTCTCATGAAATCCTATAAAAAAGCAACAAGATAGGTCAGACCCAGAAATCTAAAGACCTACATACTATATCTGACTTTCAGGAATAAAGTTAAACAAGAGCCTACTTATCCTTTAAGCACCCCTATCACTTTTATTTCTAATTATAGCACATACCTTTAAATCTTGCCAACTGCAGCGACTAGAAAGATTTTCTACAATAAGCCTGAATTCTGTTCGAACAGGTGGTCCATATTTGTCTCTGCCAGAAGTTCTCCGACTGCTGTACCCACCTCCACCACCTTTATCACACGAAGAAAACGATTAGATGGTTTGCAATGATAGGGACACAAGTTTCTGAAAGTTAGTACAAACATATCAACTTTTATTTACTGGAGTAGGACTTTGCTATTATACTGCTAATCCTTTGATACAGTTGTGATTTGCCACAAATTAAATTAAGGGCAAGCCAAATAGACTAAATCCAACTAAACTTCTCCTACAATCTGTTAGAGAGTGACTGCTCCTTTATTCAATTTACCTCGCTAAGTTTTATTTTACAGAACATTGTAAAATATAAAACTTAACTGATTACATGCATTTCTACATTTTTACAAAAATGTTTACTAGTTACACTAAGTACTTACATCACAGTGTGAGGTTTTTGGTGGTGGTTTGGCCACAAAACACGCAAGGTAACAGTCACCTAGTTCAGATTAACCAGTTTTGTCTAACCCTTGGAATCCTCACCATCACCCTGCGTCTAATGGCAAAAGGCTGCTGTCGTCATGGCTTCCGGTAAGGTCAGCCAAAGGGTCATAGGGCAAGGGTCACACAATGTATGGAAAAGCCAAGGCCAATCAGGAAAGGCAGTCATCTTAGCCTCAGTGGACACAGCCTCAGCCCCATTGGTCACTTTTAAATTGAAACATCAAGGACTTGTTAAAAAGTTTGAATTCAACATGCAACAATTTCAACATCAAACATTGAACATCACCACCCCCCACCTCCACCCAATAACATGCCCCCACCCCCATTAGTGCAAATGCAGCACTGCCATAAAGCTTATTTAGCGCTCCGTGTGGCATATACACCACATTGGCTCGAGAACAGTCTTGTCTTTGGCCCCCGCCAATTTTAGTGACTATCAGACCTAAACTTAAAACCCCTCCCCACCTCTCCCCTCCCCCACCCCGCCCCCGCCCCCTCCGGACTAAGACACCCCCATCGCTAGCTAACGCACTGGCAGGTAAGCGAGGGGGGCACCGCAGATACAGCCGCCCCTCACCCCCTCGGTGGGCAGGGCCCACGACAGCGCTGGCGGGGGCCCCCAGCAAGCCCCCCTCGCCCCCCCTTAGCCAAGACACCCCAAGCACCCACCCCCTGCCCAGGGCCAGCCCCACACCGCCCAGGCTCCGCGCTCCGGCGTCCCGGGCACCGGGCCGGCGGGCAGACGGCGGGCCCCCGGGCCACCCGAGTCAAGCGACCCCGCCCGCCGCGCCCGCCCGGGGCTCGGGACCCCCCCCCCTCCGCCCGCCCCCCTCTAGGCCTGCGCCCGCCCCCCCCGGTCCCCCAGGGCGCGGAGCGCGCGGGGGCGGGACTCACTGCGGCTTCCGTAGCTGTAGCCGTCGCGGTCGCGGCGCGGGCCGCGGGCGTGCTCCACGATCACGCGCTCGCCGCACAGGTCCTTGCCGTTCAGCTCGTAAACGGCGTCGTCGGCGTCGCGGGAGTCCTCGAACTCCACGAAGCCGTACCTGGGGGCGGGGCGGGGCCGCGGGCGGCGTTAGGCGGGCCGCGCAGGCGCACGCCGCCCCGCCCCCGCCGCGCCGCGCCGCCGCCATCTTGGAGGCCGTGCGACGCGGCGCCGAGGCCTGGGCCGCCTTTTCTCGTTTTGGGGGGGCCGCTCCGCCGCCGCCGCCGCGGGGCGCGGAGCGTGGAGGGGTGACGCAGGCGCCCGGGGGCAAACTCACCCATTTTTGAGGTCTATCTCGAGGAGGCGGCCGTAGCCGCTGAAAAAGCGCTGGATGTCCTTCTCCCGGACGTGGTAGCTGAGGCGCCCTATGTAGACGCGCGGCATGTCCGTGGCGGGCGAGGGGCCCGAAGGCGGGCGGGCGGGCGGACGGCGAACCGCAAGGCAGGAGCCGCGGTACGGGTGCGGGGACGGCGAAACCCCCGACGCGCGCCTCGCACGGCAGCGGTGGCCAAGTCCAGCCACACAATGGTGCGCGCGCGCGCCAGGGTGACGCTATAAGGGCGGGCGGGCCGGCGGGGCGGGGCCCGGCGTGTGACGTAAGCGCGCAGCACGTCCCCCGCCGGGGCCCCAGGCTCCGAGGGGGACTGTTGGGCCCGCCGTCCGCGGGTTGCGAGGACGTGCTCTCTCACGCGCTCCCAGGATCCCCTCCTCCCGGCCCTGTAAACGCAGCGCCCCGCCGTCCGGACGAGGGCTCCCCTCCCGCTTTGTTCCTCCCCAATACCGTCCTCCGAGTGGCTTGGGAGGCCGGCTAGAGGATCCCCGCTTCTCATTGGTTGCCGTCGTTGTCATCATAGGTGTCTGGCCTCGGGATTGGCTCTTTAAAACGAGGCTGCGTATTGGAGCCGAGGATTGGTTCCCGCTCGGGTGGGGGGGCGGGGAGAGGTGGGAGGGGGCGGGGCAGCGAGCTTACCTAACAGAATCCCAGGTTGGGAGTCGGCGGGGGCCGCGATCCGAGCTGTCGTCGCTCCGGTCGTGCGTTTCGCCCGGTTTCGTTCACTGCCATCACCAGTCTTCACGCCCTCCCTGCACGTTCCTCCGTTCCTTTTTTGGATGTTTTTGTTTTGTTTTTGCACCGGCAGCTGGAGTCACCTGTCCACTGCGATGGACGTGGCGGTCCAGCGCTCGCCGTAGGGAACGCGGTCGAGGCCTTGGGCCCGGGAAACCTGAGCCGGAGCTGGCAGCCCTCCCGCAGAGCCGCGCATTCCCCCCGCCCCATAGCGGGGTCCGCTCCCCCAGTGCCAGGCTCCCCCCATTCGTGGGGAAGGCGCCTCGCCCACTAGCGGTGCCATTTGAAGCTGGGTTAGTAGGTGAAGACCGCAGCGGGGAGGCGAGACCCTGAGAACTCTGAGACCTACGAGCAGGAGAGAAACCTGGAGGGATGGGGGGGGGGGGGGTAAGAGGGGGGCCTTGAGCGCACGGTGTCACAGAAGTTAGGAGAGGAGATGGCTGTTAGGAATTTCCGTAAATTCCAGCTCTTCCAGAGCACTGCGATCTGGATGTTCTTGAGCTTCTGTTTGGACGGGGATCTCCCTGCCTCTCCTCCCCCCGGGACCTTTTACGAAGTGTGGAGGAGGCTTGTGGTTGTCACCACTGAGCTCCGGCAGGTGTCAATACTGACACCCGGTGGTGGAGACTCTGTGCTGTCCCCGCCTAGAATTAAGGGGATTTTGGTGCGGCTCCCAGACCGCAGGAATTCTCATACTTCAGCAGTGGGGGTGCAGATTTGTCTCCTGAAAAAGCAGCTGCAAGTGTCTACCCCTATGGCCCGGCAATTCCGTACCTAACGGAAATGTATATGCCCTCTCCACAAGGAGTGCACTAGAAATTCATGCAGCATCATGTGTGATGGCCCCCACACTGGAAACCCCCGTGCCTGCCACAGGAGAATGAGCAAATCAACTGGTTTATTCACACCACACACTGCCACAGCAATGAGAATGATCGACAATCCACAGGACAATCATGGATTTTTACCAATGTAACTATTGAAGCCCCAAAGGAGTCCAACTGTAGGATTCCATGTATGTAAAAGTGAAAAACAAGCAAAACAAATCTATAGTGTGAGAAGGCATGGGTAAGGGGGAATGACTTGAAAGGGGCTTGTTGGGTCCTGGTGATATTTTGTTTCTTGAGCTATGCTGGTTTCACAGATGTGCGCTCTCTGAAAATTCACTGAGCTGTACATTTGTGGTTTGTCCACTATGCTGTGTGTACCAGTATGTTGTATTTTGATGGAAAAAGTATTTTTCAAAGGGTAATACATCTTTCAAAAACGTGTAACTTACATGATCCTGATCCCTCGGGTTCGTGCTGGGGACTGAAGCTCTACTGAGGACTTGATTCACAGTCTTTGCCTATGAATGCTAATTTGTCCCAGTCAATAAGTTGCTAATTTTGTTGTTTCCCAATAAAGTTTCTGTAGGCTAAACATTGCTTCTTGTTGCCTAAGATGTGGCTCTGTTGTGCCATCTGGTGGCTATCGGTGTGATTACAGCGGTAGATAAATTTCCCCTGGCTTCCTCATCCATGCATTAATGAAGCTCGGAGACAGATGGTCTTTGAAAGTTCCCAATCCAAATAGTGGAGTTGCCAGGCCCTGCTTCACCCAAAGGTTATCTTTCCCTTACTTGAACACCTCCCCTGAGGGAGACTTCACTGCCTAACCAGACCAAGTCCATTCTTGGACGTCTCTCTGTAAGTAAATTTTTAAATATATATATATTATTGATTTTTTACAGAGAGGAAGGGAGAGGGATAGAGAGCTAGAAACATGAATTAGAGAGAAACATTGACTAGCTGCCGCCTGCACACCCCCCACCGGGGATGTGCCCGAAACCAAGATACAAACCTCCGACCAGAATAGAACCTGGGACCCTTCAGTCCACAAGCTGATGCTCTATCCACTGAGCCAAACCGGTTTTGGCAGCAATTCTTTATAGAAAGTAAAACATTACAACCTTGAATTGTCCACCCATTGGTCCTGGTAGTACCCCTAAGGCTGTTAAAGTAACTATGTGTTTCCCACAAGTGGGTCTTGAGTATAGAGCTTTGGAATTTTCTCCCTTTCCACATTCCCAGCAGTGTGCCAAGACCTCTCATGCCCGAGCCTCATTCCTCACCTGTGAAATGATCGCGCCTCATTAAGTTGGGAAGTAACTAAGGTGGTGCATCTTTGGTGCCTGGCATGGCACCAGTGAACTTATTCTGTAAAGGGCCAGGAGTCTTGGCTCGATGGTCTCTGTCGCACCTCTTCAGTTCTGCCGCTGGGACCCCCAGAGCCCGTAGGCAGCTGTTGTAACAATAGGTGCTGACCCCCGGTGTAGAGAATGAGCAGAACGGAAGGATTTTACTTCTGCCTCTGAGGGGGAAGAAATGTTTCTTACTCGTCCTCCTCGGATCTCAGCACAGGGCCTGGCACAGCTCAGGAAAAGTTTGCAGAAGGAAGAGAACATATGAAGGAAGAGAACATAGGGAAGGGAATGGCCTTTGGAGTCAAACGACTTGGTCCAAATCGACTTAGTCTGAATGTGACCTGTGTTTTAAAAATTACGATGCCAAAACCGGTTTGGCTCAGTGGACAGAGCGTCGGTCTGTGGACTGAAAGGTCCCAGGTTCGATTCCGGTCAAGGGCATGTACCTTGTTTGTGGGCACATCCCCGGTAAGGGAGTATGCAGGAGGCAGCTGGTCGATGATTCTCTCTCACTGATGTTTCTAGCTATATAACCCTCTCCCTTCCTCTCTGTGAAAAATCAATAAAATATATTTTTAAAAAATCACGTTGCTTGTTAAAAGAACAGCCAGGCAGCCTTTGCTCAGGGGACTACTGCGATACGTGCAGGGACCACTGCAATGGGACTTTGCGGTAGGGGAGAGAGATTGAGCTCGGCTTCAAACACAACAAGGAAAAGTGGTAATTTATAGCCAAAAAGCAGCGGGGAGGAGTCAATGGATGGAAACTTTGACTTTACCTGGGAGACGGTGAAGGATGAGGAACCAAAGCAGATACTTGAGGGTGATCAGATATTAGGGGTGGGGTTTTCTGGCTAAACCAACTTAGCGGGATGCTTGCTGAAATGGCGTGTATTAGCAGCGACGAATACAGAAGCCCCAGAGTCAGGGCCTGGGTGGGAAGAGAGTTCCGAGGAGCCTGAGTGCTGTTTGGTCAGGAGCGGCTTTGACACTTCCCGTTTCTGAGTGCCTTCCGCCTGTAAAACGGGCATCAGGACCGCGTGCCTGCTGCATGAGGCTTCTGCAGGTGTTCCTGGAGCTCATAGGGGAAAGTGTGGGTGCAGAAAGGCATTTTCTAGCCAAAATCGGTTTGGCTCAGTGGATAGAGTGTCAGCCTGCGGACTGAAAGGTCCCAGGTTTGATTCTGGTCAAAGGCGTGTACATTGGTTGTGGACACATCCCGCCCCGGTTGGGGCTGTGCAAGAGGCAACTGATCGATGATTCTCTCATTGATGTTTCTAACTCGCTATTCCTCTCTTTCTCTCTGTAAAAAATCAATAAAATATAAAAACAAACAAACAAACAAATAAAATGCTCTGTGTTTCCATTTCCAAAAGAAAAAAAGAAAAAAGAAAAAGAAAAGCATTTTCTAAAGAGAAAGCATGAAAAAGCTCCACCTTCCCTAACTCTTAACCCCATGGCCTTCAACCCGCAGTCCCTCTGGAACGAGGGCCATGTCTCCTCTCCTCCACTGGGCACACACAGCCTTCGCTGGCCCCGGGGGCACTGGGTTGGGTGAGGGGCAGTCAGAGGAGGAGCAGAGAGGGAGAGGGGAGAGCCATGCTTCCTGTTCTGGATTCAGGGCCAGCCTGGCAGTAATAATCAGCGTTTGCCCCAAGGGCTCCGTGTCCGCTGTAAAGAATTGCCGGCCACGAAAGGTGTCTGCCCATGATCTCTCAGCGCAAGGTGCAGGCATTACAGAGACAGTGCGCGCAGGTCAGACCCAGGCCTCCCGCAATGGCTGTCAGTTACCCGCTATCGGCTTCCCTCCCGGGAGAGCGCCGGGCCAGGGCTTCCAAGTGTGCGTGGGACATTCCGGTGTCCGCAGAGCGAGAACGAGGGGAGAAAGGACACACGGGTATCCTGCTTGGGTTGCCCCAGCAGCAGGCCTGAGACAAGAATTTGGAAGGTGATCCTGGGAAACGCCAGGAGGAGGGTAAGGAGGTGAGATGAGGAAGGGCTGGAGCTTGGAGGTGTCCCGCCAAGCCAGTGACAGTGTGGGCGAGGGAGCTTCCCCTCCCTACAGCTCTTGGAGGTGGCGTAACACCTCCATCTCAAAATGACCCATCGGAGGGTTTTTATACACGGGCTCCTG